ATTATACTGATATATTGTATTTAATTATTTAGAAAATTATTTTAAAGAAAAATTTCTAACGCCCGTTAGCACCGAAAGTGCCTTCCGACTTATGGTGATATAAGAATTTCCAGTTAATGTTTAGGGGAAATCACTCATGTTTCATTTATTTTTTCCTTATTATTAGTAGCCTATGTCTTAAAATAATATTTTGCAATAAATGTATGCGTTTTATCACTAAAAATATTAATTTATTACTTTCGTACTAACCCATATCCTGCTAGCGTTCCATAGCTTGTAAAACAACTACTGAAATTAATTAAAAACTAATCTATTTAAATAAAATGTTTAACTGCATTAATTGGATAACTTTTACTTTCTCGTATACGTATATAAACTATGGGGGGTCGACAATGAACGGTCGAGTATCATTTAATCGCCTAAAAATTAGAAAACAAACATTTTATTAGTCTTTCTTGTAATAGCAGGCAAATGGCAGAAACACAAGGTTTCATAATATGTTATAACATACGATTTGATTGATGACTAGTTTTATGTGGCGTTTTTTTAATTTGTGTATGTGTATGTGTTTGCTAGTGTGTTTCTGCGTGTATTTTAATAAATGTCTTTTATAATTTCTCTGTGCTCCAGGAAATGTTCCTATGCCTACTTTCTGTGTTATATCTCGACAATAGCCCTCCTTAAACTCTTATATTACTAGGCCGTTTTAAAACAATATGTCCTATACTACTAAACCTATAATTGTGCACGTGACCTAGAACTTAATGCTTTAATTATTATTGATACATTTCCTAAGTATCCATTTATTAAAAATATTCGGAATTAAAAAACTGAACGGTTGTTGTCCTCTTAAAAAAGGCAATTGCAATAAAAATTATAACACGTGAAAAAAAATTACACCAGTAAACAACAACGGTCATTTTAAAATTGTGTTTTACTGTAAAAACTAAACATGGGTTACTAGTATGTATTTAAAACAAGCATGGTTTTATGCCACACAACATTAAGTAAACATGCTTAAACTGAAAACATAGGTTAGGCAGGGTATTCTTTTATAATACAATGAGTTAATGTTAAAATACTTACTAATGGAATCTACAATTTCGAAACATCATTTTCCAGGGTTGCAAACTAAAAACGAAAGATAGCATCTCATCATTTCGAAATTGTATCATTATTTTTTTGTTATTGACTTTTTAAAAAAAATGAACCTAAGAGATGTATTTTTAATGGTCATTAGCGGTCTGTTTTCACGTCCTGGTTATATACGAGTGTGGCTGATTCGCAGTTTGTTCTGTATTTTAGTTATTACATTTGAAGCGCGTGCTACTCCAAATACAGAGAGAAAAAACAATTTGGTTATATATTTATATTGGTCTCAAGCAATACTCCTGTCACATGTGGATATATGGGTTTTGTTGACACTCAAAGGGTCCAATCGCATTAAATAATAAATATGTTACATTTTGTTTGTTCGTCTGCCTACTGGCCCAGTTTTGATTAAACTTTTGAATTAAATTTTCAACGGGCATTAATCTTTGGTGTAAGATTTTATACGTGACGCTAGGCAAGAAGTAGAATAATATATTTCTTTTGTTTAAAAAAAGTTAACATGTGATATCAAAAACATGTGAGCAGGTTTGTAGTTATTAAAATGTGTAGCTATTAACTGATATAATACAAAAAATCAAATCCATTTAATAAAATGATACATGTGTTAAAAAATTAAAATTGGTACAAACCATTGAAATTCGTATTTTTGTTTGTATTGCCTTGTTCCCTCAAGTGAGAAATAACATCTTAATGACTTTTAGTATTTAATTGCATTTTCCCTGCTTTATTTGTGTATTTTAAATTCTTCATTTATTTTGTTCAAAATATTGTCAAACTTTTTCATCTCAGTATTTGTGCTTTCTATTGTTTGGCTTGTATTTGGTTCTTTTTCTTTGAGTGTCTCATTTTCTTTACTTATCTAGTTTATTCTGTTTTTTTGCGTTTTTTATTTGCTTTTATCTATTCTTTATTTTCTGTTTGTTTTTCAGACAATACTTTAAGTTTTTTGTTTTTCTTAGTAATTATTTATTATTATTTCATATTATTATAATTATCCCCAAGAAATGACTAGAACAGATTTTAGATGGTAAAACATAACATGGGACGGCGTGACCGAGCAGTGGAGAGCGGTAGAAAGCTAAAATCGAGTTCGAAACCGTGTTTAATTTAGTAGACTGTCCCTGAGTCCACCCAGTTGTGGTGGGTACCTAACTTACGTTAAGGAAAGAAATGCCGTTGGGCATAGTGTTGACCACACTATCCCTTCATGCTGAGACTTCTGAAGCAAATGAACTTTACAGCTTAAATTAGGACATTTGAGACACATACAATTGCTCAGACTCCTTTATCAAAAAAAGCTTCATTTATTTAATCTACGAGGCTTGACGTTGCGTATTTCTTTTTTTTTAACGATACTAAAAATTAAACTTAAATATTTACTTCGCGTATTCACACAAAAATGTACACGAATAGATTAACCTGTTAAAAATGTAATTACTGTTTAAATAATTACAAATATAAAACAATATTTTTTCAATTATCTTGTGAAAAATAAGTACAAAACATTTAGAATGCCCTTCACTGTAAAAAAAAATATTATGAAGTGTATGTTGAGTAGAGCTAAGGGTTGGGAATTTGTATTTAAATTCGGGCTTCCGTTTCATGTATTTCAGGGGATTTTGTAGATACCTTAATAATTGAAAGAAAAAATGTCACTCAGAGCTATGTTTGAGCTCTGGTGAAGTGGAATAAGTTGACTGAGGTCCAGAAGTGGTAATCCCAACGTTTAAAGTAAAAATACATAAAAAAATGTTTGAAAACTACTCTCACCTATTTTGCTAAGTTATAAAGGAATGCAGAGCCTGACCAGTTTTGAATTCTGTGACGATTGGTCCTGGAAAGGCAACTATCTATTTTTCAAGCATCTCGTGACCACATCTCGAAGTTTCATGGGCTGCTGTCGATGATATTTTACACTGTGAATATTGTATACGTTGATGGTCATTAGTGGTCAGTTTACACGTCCTGGATATATAAACGTGTGGCCGCAGTTTGTTCTGTATTTTTGTTATTACATTTGAAGCCCATGCTACTCCTGAAAGTGTGAAAAAAAACACTTGAAATCTCTAAACGTAGCATAGAGGCTATTAGTTAAAGACATTACTTAAGTTTGTTTTATTTAGATGCGTTCCAGAATTCAGCTGAAGGTTGTTACAGAACAGATGAAATATTTGGAAGAACAAATGCAATTTATGGAGCCTGTAATTGGCGTGATGAAAAATGTGAGAGATTATTCTTGTTTTTGTGATAAATTGTGTTAATGTCTTTTCGGGTATAAGCATTTAGCAAGTAGTAAGTTACGTTTAGCAGCCATATAGTTTCGACGACTTCAATGTGTTTTATGTCATCAGGCATTAGAAAAAAGTAAGACGTGGATGGAAGATAAAAATGACAACCCGTCTATCACATACATAGAGCTTTGCCAGGAACTTGCTTCAGCGACAAAGGCCTTGTTGGATGTAGCTTCAAATATTTTAAGTAAACGTTGAAAACAATACGTCTATGTAATTTATGTAATCACTCATGAACTAAGCTTAAAAAATAATTGCAATTTTAATTCAACTTATTATGTATACTTTTACCAAAAGGCGAAAATGAAGAGCTTGTAGATGTTGATGGTAGCACGCCATCTTTAGCTCAGTCTACTCTAGAGCCTACAAAAACAGAGAAACCTGACCAAAGTGAATCAACAAATCAAGTGACTAAACTAGTTAAAAATCAAGAAGGTATAAAATATTTTTTTCGCTAAGCTAAATTTTTAAAATAGAATAGGAGGTGTGCAAACATTTAACTTATTCTATTGTAATTGAAACGCTGCTATTACATTATTTGTTATACATTACAGAAGTATTCACTCGACTGGGACTTTTAGAAAACAACATATCTTGTCTAGAAAGTTCAATACAAAAAACTAAAGAAGACACGTCAAAAATAAAACAATGGAGAGACAACTTTGTATCAGAACAGAGTGACATGGGGGTAAACATTGAACAACTGACTAAAAAACAAAAACAGAATTTTAAAAACCTCAGAAAACAAATAAGTGAACAAGATAACAAAGTAAAGGAGCTGAACAAAGAAATTGAAAGTTTAAAAGAAAAAGAAACAAAGTCAAACAAAACACTAGAGAAACTGTCTCTAGATATAAAGGAATATGAAAACAACTTACTTACAATAAGTAAAGAGATGCAAGATCACGCAGATACAACTGATAGAATAACAGAAGAAATTAAAAGACATTCAGATCAGATGTCTACCATACAAGAAGAGAGTTATAACATCCATCTTAATACATCAACTCAAATAGAAAAGGTAAAATTGATAATGATGTGCTAACACAATTTTACACATACTGGCCAGATAACTTATTTCACATTTTATAACCTGGTTAAATTAAAACACAACTAAGTAACTTTATCAACAGTTATACCTGTAATATTATTACTAATTTTAAGACACATGTTTTTGTTAGTCATAATGTGCATTAAAAATAATTAAAATGCAATTTTCTGCTCTTTAGCACAGTTTGATGTACAAACTCCTACAGCAAAGATTGATGCCCATCGACAAACTGATTCAAATCTTTAACCAGAACTTGGAAACAAGGGAAAAAAGAATAACAAAGGTATATGTGTAGTAATTTGATAACATATACATTATGACGTTGATAATTGCGCATTAATTATTAACACTATGTTAATAGACCAATTAATAATATGTTTTCTAAATTAAGCGAAACATTAAAAATGTTATAATTATAAAATAATCCATGTTTTAAATTATGTTCTATTCTTACAAGCTGCCATACCCTGTTAAAATCAGTGCAGCAATTTTATGTTCTACGTAACTATGTGATATTTTCAATCATTTTATAAAATCTTTTTTAGCTGGAAAATATTGAAGATACTATTTCAAAATTGTCCAAAGATTTTAATCTAATAGGTAAAATTGTCTTACATTTTTTTATAGCAAATCATACAGCCAGACAGATCATATGGTAATGTTCGTTACCCAGACCGACCATAACGTGATGTTCGTTAGCCTAACAAACCATAACGTAATGTTCGTTAGCCAGACAGACCATAAGGTGATGTTCGTTAGCCAGACAGACCATTACGTGATGTTCGTTAGCCAGACAGACCATAACGTGATGTTCGTTAGCCAGACAGACCATAACGTGATGTTCGTTAGCCAGACAGACCATAACGTGATGTTTGTTAGCCAGACAGACCATAACGTGATGTTCGTTAGCCAGACAGACCATAACGTGATGTTCTTTAGCCAGACAGACCATAACGTGATGTTCGTTAGCCAGACAGACCATAACGTGATGTTCGTTAGCCAGACAGATTATAACGTGATGTTCGTTAGCCAGACAGACTATCTCGTGATGTTCGTTAGCCAGACAGACCATAAAGTGATGTTCGTTAGCCAGACAGACCATAACGTGATGTTCGTTAGCCAGACAGACCATAACGTGATGTTCGTTAGCCAGACAGACCATAACGTGATGTTCGTTAGCCAGACAGACCATAACGTGATGTTCGTTAGCCAGACAGACCATAACGTGATGTTCGTTAGCCAGACAGACCATAACGTGATGTTCGTTAGCCAGACAGACCATAACGTGATAAAGAATGGAACATTTCACTCACCCATAGTGCCAGTCTCTAGACCCGTGGGTTTCCGTCAGGTGTTTGTTTCCTCACCTGGTACATTACACCACCTGGTATGTCGGGGATCGACCTACAATGGTCTACCCTAGTACATTAAGACATTACGCAGCTGTAGTTTAAAATTAACTAATTTCAATTGAAGTCACATCGTCGCTTTATGTTTCTAATATTAAGACGGAGTCCCTGGGTTAAATCTATAATAAAATAATAACTTAAAAATATAAAAAAAATGTAACATTCTTTTAATGTGAAACGAACAATACAATACGTTAAAGGTGCAGATCGTGCCATCGGTTTTATTAAAGTTCTATAAGTACAACAGAATAACATTAGTTCTAGTAATTCTTGTTTCTTGATATATAGTTCAACTATAAAATATACAAAACACATATAACATTTGTTATACCTTTAGTGACGTATTAGGTCACCTACTACACTCGTAGTTTCAATACGTAGGATACGATAAACTAACACGACTAAAACTGAAGACCGTACTAAACTAGTGGTCTGATGTTGCAATGTGTGGTCTTAGACAAAATTATGTAAATTTTATGGATTATTATACACAATTTTTTTTTTAATTGTTTGATTTAGGTTTGCCACTTTTTTACTTACATTTTGAACAACATTCAAAACACATATAATTAGTTGATGTTTAGTGTTAGTAACATAAACTAATAATACGACAATGCACATATTATGGACAGTGGCAGAACTAGAAAAAGCCCCCCCCCCCATGCAGAGTTTTTTGGGCCCCTGTATGTATATATATATATATATATATATATATATATATATATATATATATATATATATATATATATATATATATATATATATATACATATATATATATACTTGAGTTTTTTTTCCTTCTGGTACAGTGTACCAGGTAGGCCTACACGAATAATACAGAGGTTTTCCATTACGTTAGCTGGCCCCATTCAGTTTTCAAATTGAGAAGTACAGACTCTCTAGATCTACTCAAACACATCAAACTGACGCCGATTTTTATGAGGTTTTCATCAAAATGTTACCAATCGTGTATATATAGACGTGTGCCCATGTTTTCCAGAAGTTTATTTAAATGTGAACAATGTCAGCAGTTCATTTCTTGGATCTTAGTTGGTGGGGCGCGGGTTTGTCCACTCTACCAACTAGACACACCAAGGCATGACGTTAGTCCTCGGCGACGGCCCAGGTGTTAGGGGAGTCACGGGGCTCTTGGAGCTACCGGTTACATTACTGCACGGGTGATGGGTGCAACACAGTGTTTTTTCCAGTCATCACTTAGTCAGCCCCCCACCCCCCTTCGAAAATATCAAGCGCTCGAACCCCCCCCCCCCCCCCACCCCCGGAAAAAGTCCCCACTCCAATATGTAAACAAATGTTAGGCCTATGACAGAAATCTTTGCGGGGCTGTACTCAACAGCTTCCCAAGTTTTCATGGCGATCGGATGAATGCTGTAATTAAGCATAAAAGACAGAAACATGTTTTTCACATGTAAATCTGTATGTGGCCAGCTCACGCGTCGGATAACCTTCTGATTTAGGTGTGGGGGGATCCATTAATGACGTCACGTTTTTAACAACTTACAAAAAGCTAGACCCTCACACCCCCCTCTCCCCAACGACGTCATTTATGAATAGTAATTGACTGTTAATAATGTTCAATTAATTCAAAACGTTGTAATTAATTTCTATTTAATTATACAAAAAATAATCTTACCTTCCTTGTTTTGTGAATTGGATGCACCTAATTCTATTCAAGTAAATTAATATCTGTTGACTAGTGTTGTCTAGTGTCTGACAAAATGTCCTGAAGTGGTGAATGTACGGTTAGGAAGTAGTTCATAAACAATACATTTATCTACTCGATACTTGCGAGGCTAAAAAAAGAGGGGTGGAATGGGGGTCGGCTCGGGAAAAACTTGAAAGAGACAACAAGACGCCCTGATCTATGTACGTCTGCATCGCCCATTGGAAAACTTACTCAGGGGAGATAATTCCAAGTATAGGCCTTAAAAGTTTACTATGATATTTCTTGTAAAAGCAAAAACAAGTAAACGTTTATAAAACCGAAGTTTCTAGTATTATATTATTTTTTATTATTTGTAGGGTACAAGATAGTACAAGATAGAAATTCTACCAATATCACAAACACATATTAACATTGAAAAATGTACAACGGATTTCGGGTCCCTTACCAATTCTGCAAAGAAGAACCGCGCATCATGAAAGTCCACTTCATATGTAACGGCTTTTCTAGCTTGGACTTTTTTTTAAAAGAATTTTGCCGGCGACATCGTGTGTTTGATTGTAGGGAAATAAAACTCGGCCTTTACGATGGCTAAAAAAAATACAGCTACAAATAACTTTTTTTAATATATAAATAAATTGACGACAATTTTCGAGCCTCGTATTTGGCCCCCATCCCCTGCCCCATCCACCACATTACACTTTAAAAGATCGGTCAAACAGTTACGTGTCCTCACAGAAGTCATCAAAATTTGAAGTTTTGACTATAAATTATACTGTAGTTTGCGTAATAGATTTTAAATAATTGCGGAAGAACATGGTATATTAACTGTAAAAAAAGTAGCCGTAACGCAACTACTGTATTTTTCCTATACAAACCAAATATAAAGGCACAAATGCACGAAAATTAAATTCCAAATTTAAAAAAAAAAATTATTTATGGTCGGCTTTTGGCCCTAAACGGCCTACCCCTCCCCCCTCATTGCGGGGTCTGTAGTTCCGCCCCTGATATGGATCAAATTGTAAGAGCAAAGGGATCATCCACACGTGGAGGGGGAAGGTGAACCGAATAAAATTTACTTTTGTAAACGCATGTGGACTGGAGGGGGGGGGGGTGTCGGATCATTATCAACGTCCACATGTTGAATTTAACAACAAAATACTTTTTTTAAAATGCACATAAAATGTTGGTTATTAAATCGGCAGTTCTCGTGTTGAATTTCCCCAGCACAGCGGGTAAATAAATGTAGCCAAAATGTAATTGTATACCGCCAGCCTGGGAAAAAAGCGGTCATCGATTTACAAGAGGGAGGGGGAGGGGGCACTGACTGCAACAATTATCTAAAATATTACACGATATTTCAATTTTATTTTTAAACATTTCAAACAATTAAAGCTTAACTTATTGAAACAATTAGAACAATTTTGTGTCAAGACCTAAGACGTTGTAGATCTAGTGATTTTTTTTTCAAGTAAAAAAACTACAAATTATCACGTTACCTATATATTCGTTAATAGCTAGACAGACACAAATGACATTACAATGTTCGGTCTACAGCATCTTCAATAAAATAAAATTGATGACACCATTCGTGAAATTAAACATGTACATCATACATATGTTTTCTAATCAACAGAGTCACGTGTATGTAACAGATATGCTTGTTATGTGGAGCTTGATGATCCCACACCTGTCAGTACTGGATCAATTATTTCAACATTTGGTGAAGTACGTGAATATAACGGTCAACATTTTAATCAAACAACAGGAACATTTGTATCACCACATGATGGTTTATATCTCGTCTGTATAGCTCTACATGAATGGGGAGATAAACGGACTGGAGTTGCTGTGATGGCAGCAGACGAGTTTTGTTACGGTATAGAAGTGAAATGTGCCAACACTAGCGCTTTTGGGTCAGTGGTTGTAGACATGAAGAAAGGTCAAGAACTTTACTTTCAAGGGTCTCAATCAGATCAAGGCGCAGCTTTATCCTACCTCAGTAGTTTTACTATCGTTAGTTTATAGAAGGACAACAAAAAACATGGTGGATGGTACATTCCTAAAACAATAAAATATGTAACCAACATGTTAAACACACGCTACCAACTTACTATGTGTGTAGACTACATGTTTACAAAAACTCTAATGGTTTATATGTTATTTGTTTTTCTCTCATCTGTCTACTTTAGTTGAGCCTTGCATCAAATATAAATCATTTTTGTTTTATTTGATATGTTCATTTTAATTTTAAAATTAGTACTATACCAAACACAAACAAATTTAACGACGCACTGTCTTAACGGCCAAGGACAACACCCCACGTGATTATCCCCCGGTGTTCAAGTAAGGGAGCTCATTTTCATTCATTATTGCTTTCACTGAAGTCGCGAGATCTGTCCCTTTACCAAATTAGGCTCGATAACCAGAGCCAATTACTCATCTAGGAGAAAAACTCTTAAATAAACACAAGTGCTGCCTTGTACTTTGTTCTTTATATGAACTAATCCTATAGAGACAAAGTCAGAAATAAAAGCATGATGTACGCAGTTTTAGGGTACCATATAGCGCATAGCATTTTGCCACTTAAAATACGGCAATGTATCAGTTATATGAAAATATTTAGGTTAAATCTGCCAAAACTAACTCTGCTCATTAACTAAAAGATTAAAAGGACATATGAACGGATCTAACTACACATTGACTAACACAACGTTCTTTTTACAATAGTTGAGCTGGTGTTGTATTTTGTTTAAACAATAAAATATCACCATTATTTCTATTTGTTTTATAACTTCAACAGCGTTTAAAACTGGCGTTGTCTGCCCACACCTGTGTGTGAGCTAAACCAAATCTTATGTGTGTGAGCTAAACCAAATCATGTGTGTGTGAGCTTAACCAAATCTTGTGTCTGATGTTCACTCACACATGCACACTAAAGTACACATAAATGAGTACACATACTTGCACACATGTGTATATATGCACTCGAAAACTTGAATGCATTAATGCTGTGACACACATATGCTGTTATACTGTAAGGATATGTTTACTTGCGGTATTCTAGACGGAGATATAAAACATATATTTTTCTTATAGGGGTTTGTGAAAATACATTTTATTTTCGTAACCAATTTAAAAAAAGCCATTTAAACGTATTTAATGTGAATGTAATTAATACAACTTTGACAAAATATTCACTTTAAAAAAAATAGTAGATGACACTCTTTGAAATCTCAATGGCATCAGTATGTATATGTATATGTGTGTGTACATGTTTGTATGCTTGTTAGTGTACCTGTTTGTGTACCTGTTTGTGTACATGTATATAATGTATGCTAAAACCGCGCATGATAGTCCAGTTCTTCCATCGGGTTATTGGGGGATAGTTCTGTGTACTTTTATATCTAATATATAAAGCTCAGTTCTGTATGTAATGCATTTGTATGTCGTTGGAATTGTATGAATTTAAGTGTTAGAAAATTATCGTGCGCATTTGTCTAAATTTATGAGCTAAAAAATTACCATTGAAAGTGTTGGGAAATCATTTTCATTTTTCAAATTACAGTAATAATTGTCGGCATGTTCATTAAACACAAGTTTAAAAAAAATATCATCTTTTACAAAAATTCTAATTATGTCTTTATTTAGTCCTATAGCACTTACTTCCCTTTGATAAATTTGGAAAACAAAATTACTTCCCTTTATAAAACCATTGCATTAGTCGAAAATAATTTACTTTTTAATTACTTTGTTTTGGTGTTGGGAAAAAAAAATAATTACATAATTAGCGGGGATTGATCAAATGCAAATGTTGTAGGTATTTTACGGATAAGCTTGGAGTATTAAAATTGTTCATCAAATTGAAACAGGCGCGTTCGTTTAAGTGAGTGCAAAAGACTATGAATAAGTTGGGGTACTATAGTCGTTCATTAAGCTAAAACAGGTGATTCCGCCCCGGGCGTTTATGTTCGCGTTAATGTTTTCTTTGTGTTTAGGTGGGTTTGCGTTAGTGGTTGCGTTTTGATTTGGTTCGTTTTTGTTCTTTCTTTTTTCGTTTTTGTTTGTGTTTTTTTGTTTGGGTTTGTATTTGTGTTTTTGGTTGGTTTTGCGTTTGGATTTGGTTTGTTTTCGTTTGCTTTTTCGTTGGTTTTTTTTTGTTGGTATTGGTGTTTGTGGTTGGGTTTGTTGTTAGGTTTTTGTTTCGTTTGCTTTTTTGTTTGTTTTTTCTTTGTGTTTGTATTGGTGTTTGTGGTTGTGGTTGGGTTTGTTGTTAGGTTTTTGTTTTCGTTTTTATTTGTAATTGTGTTAACGTTATGTTTGCGTTTTGTTGTTTTTGTTGGTTGTGGTTTGGGTGGGCAATGCCGGGTTTATGATGATTACTAATCACACAGGTAATGGTCTTTAACAGAAAGGTTTTTCACAGAAGCCAGAGCAGGGCCTGGCCGGGACGGCTAGTAGTCACTAAATCGTAGTTTGTGTACACTTTTAAGATTTAGAATCGCCTGTGTTTGTGTAGATAATGCAGATATAATAAAACTCTCTTTAGCGTTGATGAGCCTGTGTTTTATATAGTTTTTTGTTCTGTTACTCGTGTTTGTTTATTGTCTTTAGCTTGTGCGAACCTACTCACACAGATATCTCGACATATTCAAACCTGTTAACGTTCTTTAAAGGGGTCGGGGTGGTCGAGTCTGTAAAGCTCATGGTTGCTAAAACGAAATTCTCGAGTTCAAACCCTCGAGCAGATGAGGCTCGTTAGCTGTGGACAGCCACTCTTCTTGGAGAGACAACTCCAAAATTAAACAACTGCTGCCTTGTAGTTTGTTCTCGGTTGTGCTAAGGCTATAAAAGCAAATCCAAAAAGAAAAGCAAGCTGAAATCGGAGTCAATTGCATCAATGGCGCATAACCAGTTAACACGAATCCTTAATTGTGATGGAAGCATGCTCGAGACGGCCTAAGCTCATGGTTGATACATTCAGAAAAAGTCTCGAGTTAACCCTCTGGCAGATAAGGCTCGATCCCTCCCAACACAAAAAATTAAGAACGAAGAAGAAGAAGAGACAATTTTTTAAAAAAATATTTGTTTAAAAATGCAATTTTAAAGATTAAAAACTATTGTCCTTAAATGTCACTTTTAAGCGGCAAATCTTGAAGTTATTATCAAATAAAAAATATACGGAATTGAAATCCAATTGAAATTATAATTATGCAAACACCATAGACACATTGAATAAGCTAAACAAAAAAAAATTATATGGTGTGAAATAAATGATAAACTACTTATGCCATGAACTTGATTAAACTTATAATCTAATAATGTTGTAGCCACTTCCTGCTTGTAGCAAGGCTCCAGTCAGCAAATCCAAGAATTCATCTCGTAACTCATCAGGAATTCTCGCAAGATCAAGGGGAGCAGAGAATGGGTTAAGTGTCAATGTGGTTTATTCTTCTCTCAGCTAAGGGAAATAACGCCGCATTTAGTTTTTAAGACACTCAAGATGGCTAGCAATCTCCTCTTTCAATTTGTTATTTATCTCACAATTATATTTTCAAATATCAAACATGCCCCGAGATAATCTTGAATGGCGATAATATTTGTTTTTTTCCCCTGAAATTTCAGGTTAAACCTATTGTTTCATTGAATATATATTCTAGGTATGCTACTCTCTCAAACCACTCTAAATTGTTAAAGTTGGCTATATCTTAAGGTATTGTTTCCCTTGCATTTTTAAAAACAACTTCATTTCATCTTTCAATTTAAAGACACGATTTGCAACATTTCTTTTCGAGAAGAATCGTTGTTGAGTGTAGAAAAAAGATCTACTTGCCCAGAATCCACGTCTTTGCAAAGTTCATTAAACAGGCGGGTGGTTAGGGCTCCAGGTTTATTAACATTTACGATTTCTCTTATCGAATTAAGTGTCTCTAGCAAACGAGTGAGAAGAGCATTGCTTGCAAAAGCATACATGTAAATTATGCAGAGTATTCTCGTTGATTGTAAGCTAAAATTTTATTTATTTCTTAAAGCCCGATTTCGACCCAGGCATAGATGGTGAACCATCCGTATAATCCCTATAGCCGTCAAGCTCTTTAATCCTCGAGTTTCATTTTTTTTTATTTTCTCCATGATATCTTCATTTTTTGTAGTAGTTTAATTTCACTACAAAATAGAAACGTTTCTTTATGTCATTTGAATGAATATATGTTACAGAGACAAGGAACAGCGATCATGGGCTTACGTCTATTGATTGCATCAACTAGAAAAGCGAACAATTGCAAAAACTTAATTTAATTAAAAATGTGTTCTTAAGCACGTACGATGATTCTTTTACGAAGTTTTCATAAACACTAATAATATTCTAAAAACTTCAATTGTTTGTTTTTAAAAATCAGCGGGGAAACAAAAGCTTGTCACAACAACGTGCTTTTTCCCCAGAAAAGGTTGGTATAAGAAAATAATTATATATAACAAAAGTAAGTAAAATTATTTCAAAGAATCGTTCTTGATTTCGTCGTTCAAATAACATTTTAATAAAATAGAAGTTCTTGATTACACTTACTTTAATGATTATTTTAAATGTATGAAATTTTCCAAACTCCAAGACGCTATCAAAAAACTTTAAAAAATAAGATTATATTAAAATTTTGTGTTTGAAAGTTGGCGACGCCCCCCCCCCCCCCAGACGATCCACAGTTTTGGAACCAGCGTTATAAGGACTAAGTGAAAACAACTTTTATTTTCAAAACCGATAACATAAAATGTGTTTAAAAGTATTTAACATGAATGTAATCAACACAACTTTGACATACTATTTACACTTTTATTTCATAGTTGATGACACTCGAAAAAGTAACATGTGTGCAAAACAAACTGTATGAGTGACATAATGACAAATTTTGGGACGGCGTGGCCAAAGAGGTAGAGCGCTAGGCTGCTAACCCGAAAGTCTCGAGTTCGAATTCTGGTTCAAGTAGAGAGAAGATACCTGATCTCATCCAGCTACGTAATTCATGATAGGGAAAGTTCATGCGGCTAGGCAAAGTGCTGACTGCACACATCATTATGTCGAAGTCAAAAACTCTCCTTTATTTACTTTACTTCTTTTCACATATTTAAAACATATTGTGATGGTTTACGAACACAATGGAGAAACTATTTGAATTACATAAAGCTAAACATCCTGTTTACAGACATCTCTTACATAAGTTAATATTACGCTTTCGCTATGATCATCTACATTCGTTAATTTATCGTTTTCATGCAATTTTTCATACGGGTAAGCCATTTGGAACAAATAAACTCACACTTTTAATTACATGTGAATAAGTTCCAGTTCCGTGTACTGAAAACAGCGGAAAAGTTGATACCGAACTACACTTTTGATATATACTACATATATATGAAATTTCATTAACCTAGCTGTAACGACACTGAAGTTATCGTGTTTAAAGAGATACACATATACACACAGAGAGACATGCGAACAAAATTGCAAAAGTATTTTTTTTCTAACTCAAGGAGGTGTAAATGTCGAGATTTGTAAAAATTTCAAATCTCGATTTTTTTTTGCACGATTACTACACTTCCTCATACTTTTTATACGAGAAAGTAAAGTGTAAAGAAAATCTCAGAAGAAACTTTTAAAAATATTTAGACATTGAAATGTATTTTAATGGTTATGTCCCTTGTCCCAGTCATCACACTTTAAAGGTTTAATGTTGTTTTAGTGTTTACAAAATAATAACAAAAGAACGTCTTAACAACATTCCTGTAAAGATTTAAAACTTCAGTCCTATTGGTACAGTCCCTGACACTTAATATTTTATATTGTTTAAGTAAATAGAACTTAGGGCTGGTTAGGTGTTTATTGTATTGATATAAAAACAAATAATAACACGTGGAATTATATAAAGAAATAGAAAATATTTTTGCAAGATTAATTTTTTAGCATGGTATTTAACATGGTGGATACAAGTTTCATTGTTTGAAAAGTTAACCATGCACCATGTTTTGTGTTGTACTTCTATAAACTAACGATAGTAAAACTAATGCGGTGAGATAACTTTGCGGCTTGTTCTGCTTGAGACACTTCAAAGTAAAGTTGTAAATGTATAATTTATGTACGTTTAATGTGATAAAAATAAAAATACAACCACTGTCAACAACCACTGACCCAGCAGCGCTAGTGTCTGCACATTTCACTTCTTTAGACAAACACCACATCCCTCCAGCCCACACACCAACTCTAATCTGTTTGTATTCCTATTCATGTAGAGTAACACAGACAAGATATAAACCATCATGTGGTGATACAAATGTTCCTGTTGTTTGATTAAAATGTTGACCGTTGTATTCTCTAATTTCACCAAATGTTTTCATCCTTGAATTCGATGTGATCATTGAGTTGTCTTTCAGATGGATATAACAACCATATCTGTTACATGCTGCACGTTTCTCTGTCAAGCAGAAAAAACATGTATGTTTTGTTAAGCGTTTCTTTACATTGTTACACATGCGTTAATTATTTGTTCATCGTTTTTTACTTTCTCGTATATACGAATTATAGAGAAAGTATTGTAATCGTGCAAAAAATAACATGAAATTTTGACAGCTTTCACCGTTTTACTCCTCAGTCCTTCATCACATCCGGAGTATAGATGACTTATTTTAATCAGGCAAAAATTATAAATACAAATATATAAACGTTTTCGCGTTTTATGCGTTATCGAGTCGTAAAAACTGGACTTTGCAATTCTGTCCGTATGTCTGTGTGTCTGTGTGTCTGTCTGTGTGTAAACACGATAACTTGAGTACCGTTACAGCTAGGTTGATGAAATTTCATATATAAGTATTTTATCAAAATCGTAGATCCTGATCAACTTTTGAGCGATTTCCGATAATTGGAAGTGGTACTTTTTCTACTTTGAATTTTTCAAAAGCCTATAAGTTGCGTACTATTTTAGATAGATGCATGAAAATTTCACACGTAAGTAAAAGATCTAATTCTCTACCTTCTGTCGAATTTTGAGTAATTTCCGTTGACCGGAAGTACTTATTTACGCTATTTCCGATTTCTCAAAAAACGCATCTAAATTTATAAAGTACTAATATCATCCCGCACTTTTATGCACATTTTATTAGGCGTTCACTTGGTGTGGGACGGAGTGGTCTAGCGGTAGAGAGCTGGACTGCTAACCCGTTAGTCTCGAGTTCGAATCCGGGTTCCAGTCAGTAGATCGTCCCTGAGTCCACCCAACTCTGATGGGTACCTAACTCCTGTTAGGGAAAGTAAATGCGGCTGGGCATAGTGCTGACCACACTATCTCTTCATATGCCGAGGTCACAGAAACAACTGAACTCTACTTCACTTGCCCCATAAACCGTCAGGTTTGAAAGGGAAACTTTTCACTTGGTGTGCAATTCATTTTTTTACGAGATTCTATTTTATTATAAAAAGTTTAAGTAATTAAAAATGGATAACAAATATTGTCAATGTCCTGAGTTGCCATCCCTCGTAATTTTATATTACAATATTCGAGAAAGTTTAGGGGAGATCACTCCCGGTTTATTTAGGTTAGTATAACTGCTTGTAAATGTATTCTATAATAGTTAGTATTGGGTAGTGTATACTGTTTACGTAGTATTTATTGGTTAGCGTTTCGTAGTGTGTAATGTTTTGATACTATCTATTATATTGCATATTTCATTTTATTTCCTTTATCATCATCATTCAACTAATCAGTGACTGTTTTTTAATACCCTCCACACCAAAACTGTGAACGCAAAAACGAAACAAAACTCTGTCACAGTTTATGTTTTAAACAGGTGCATGTAAAGTATAAAAAAAGCAGTGAAAAAGTAAAGGTCTCTGAAAAGAAAAGCAGTAACAAAATTGAAACGAGATAAATGGTTAATTATTGGTTTGCTGTGAGTGCAACTGTTAAGTTAATTTCAATAAACTTGTATTATTTATATATATAAGAAAGTAATATTAAGAGTGTAATGAATGAGCTAGTAAATGACTGAAATGTATGTGAAATAAATAAGATATTAATTGAACACTCTGTGCCCCCTCCCCCTACTCGACAACGTCTTAAGTAAAACTCGTCGGCTGATTTCCAAAAAAAAAAAATACACTTAATACAACAAATTCATTTCTTCGCTTTTTCCTACATTTGTTTTTATACATTTGTTGGTTTTTTTTTTGTTAAAATTTTGTTCTCTACAAAATACGTAACACAAACAACCACTGCGGAACCATTTTGGGTACTGGAACGGAAGAATGGCATTTAATGAAAGTTGATGTAGGAAATGGCATTGAAACACGGTGAATTTGAGACACGAACAATGTTACAAATTAAATTATTATCTCGAGTTACAACTGTATTAATGTAGTACCGCGATTAGTTTTTGTTGCTCACATATAACCCAATATTAAGTAGACACATGTCATGTTAACTTTACAAAGACAGTAAATATGAATTATGAATTGACAAGGTTTGTAAGTTGTGACCTAAACAGTAAAAGTATTTTTCTTAGCCATATATACAGTAAAGTGAGGTTTTAAAGTTACATCAGTAGGCGTTTTATAAAGTGGCACCACTAAATTGTTGGCTGATAATTGGGTAGAAATCACTGATAGCTAAGGTATTGAAAAGTACACCCTCTAAGTGTGGCACCAAAAAAAGTATTGACTGCTTAAAAGTGCCACCCACCTTTTCAACTAGAGCTCGGGGGGGGGGGGTGATTTTTTTTTTCCACTAAAGTCAATAAATATAAATTAAATGGGAGGGGGCAAAAAGTTGAAGGTTCGCCCCGGGGCCGACTTGGTTCGCTACGCCTCTGATAGCATACGACTGCAGATGCAATAGTCACAGTGAAGTATTTCAACTGCGAAACACAAATGTTACGTAAACGACTGTTTTAACTTTCAGCTTAAGCTTGCATTTTACAGCATCCACATTTGATAAATTGTGCTTAGATTTCGCATTTTACCGCATCGAGATATCACCTATCGTGCTTCAATTTCGCATTTTACCACCTCGATATACAACCTATCATGTTTCCATATCGCATCTGAACTTCACCCACGTTAGTCGATGTGTAAATAATTAAAACAACGTGTATGAGATCTGCAATTTTTTACTTACCTTTAGATCGAAAGTTGTTTTGATGAAAAAGATTTCTTGTTGTGGCTGATCTACACGTAGTTAAAGCATCAATACAAGAGAGATAACTCTAATAATGACAACGCGATCGGGAAAACCCGCTATTATTCAACAGAGGAAGTTCGACTACTGTACACAATTCCAGTTCTTAGATTCCCCACAACAAGTCTAGGCCTACTTAAGGTACTGTTAATCTTTAATCTATATAATATATATTTTGAAAATAGCATTTCCTTTTAATACAACCAGACAACATAAAAATAATGAATTTAAAACAAAATAAAAAGCCCTACTGCATCCTTAATTATTAATCAGTTATTAAATTGTCTTTAGTGTAAAGTTTGATATTATAACAATTCCATAAAATAAGTATATCATATACTCATTGATTAGAAAAGTATGTAGGTCGTTTTATTTTTTTAAAAAGTTAATTTTATTAGTGATGTTTAGGCAATTCAAAGAAAAATTGTAAAATAATTCATCACAACGCTGGATAGATAATAAAAGTGAAAAACGGAAATGCCCAAATGTATAATTTTAGCAAGCAGGAAATAACATAAGTGAAGCCACGAAAAACTATCGCATTTTTCTAACATGTATTACATATTTAACTGTAACAATAGTTAACAGATCTAAAAAAATATAACAATACGTAAATTAATTTTCATTTATTTGTGGATTGCCAGTTATAGTTTAACAATTTAGGACAAAAACTTAGTCTTGGTAGTTTTATAACTCATTTATTAGATTTTATTTCATTGTTATAATTAACTCTTTATTTACTGAATTAATTTCTGGATGAAATATTTTTTTCAAACAATGAATTATTATATTGCTTTTGGTACACTAAAATTATACCCGACTCAAGGAAGATTATAAATATGTAAATGATTATAAAGATTCACCTTAAATTAAAATAATTTAAGAGCTAGGCTTATATATGGTACCGTCAGTAGATAAAGGATTTAACTCTGACGGATTGGCGTAGTGGATTAAGATTTAGTTAGAAAATACGTTATGCTAACAATAACTCAACTATCAGCTCTATTCAAGGATACTTTACGATATAGTAATCTACATATTGACGGACATTGATGGCATGTGTACTGGAATAGTAATTATATCATTAAGATTTTTGTTGATGAAAACAAATAGGCTACATATTATCATAAAATGATCTAAATTATCAGTGTTTCTTCCGGCTTTCTCCTCCGGGGGAGAGGGGGTGGCACTTGAAATTTCGGGGGCGGGGGGAGGTGGGCGAACTACAATTTCCGGGGGGGGGGGGGGGGGGGCGGGGACGCTGTTAAAAGTATATATTTTCGATATTTCGTTTGGGGGCAGTAGACTATCTTCGGGGGGGGGGGGGGGGGGGTAGCCTAGAAAAATTCCGCTTTAGATTTGCTTAATTGTGATGACAGAGTTAACATTTTTTTTTTAAATTTAGTGTTATTAACATTTAGATGCCTTCGAGAATTCACGTCAAGTTTGTTACAGAGCGCATGAATTATTTGGAAGAACAGATACAAGTTCTGGAACCTGTTTTGGGAAATATGAAAAATGTAAGTCATTACAAACTAAAAAGTCTTCGTAATACTTAAAATGTAAAAATCCTTTTATTCACGATAAAGTAGGTTTAGCGTTTTTCGTGTTTAGGAATATATAGCATTTCAACACGTGATCAATTGACAATATTGTTGTTGTTTGCTTTAACCAGGTTGTTGCAAAAAGTAAGGCGTGGCTAGAAGAAAAAACTGACCAATCATCTGTCAGCTACATCGAGCTATCACAAGAACTGGACACAGCAGCCACGGCCTTGTTGGATGTGACGTCACATATTTTAGGTCAGTACTTTAATAGTTTTTAGAATTTTAAATTTCAAAGCCTACTGTCAAGTGTCATGTGTGTTCAGTAATGAAGTGTTTCTCCTGAGAAGAATGCAACGAAATTGTTTTACAGTTTAGTTTACAGGCATTACAAATACTAAGTTAAAGAGATATAATTTTACTGTCTAACCAACCATTTTCCTCTTTTCTATGAAATCTACGTCACATTACTGAATATTGTAAATCATTATATGAACAAATTAAAGATTTTTACAATCACATCGTGTAACCTTATTCGCCCTAAAACAACGTCTATAGAACATTAAGGTTTTTTTAAATTACTATTTATTGTAAAATCGATAATTATTCTTGTAAAAGTTAAATTTAAAACAATATATAGATTTCGACTATTTTGGAATTATTTGTATTTGTATACGTTTGGATCATATTCAAAGTTATTTTTGATCAGGGTATTACATGGCTTGCGTTATGGGTTAACTAGATAAAAAAACATTTATTGTGTGTACTATAAAAATCCTTGTTTACTTTAACTGCAATTAAAATAAAATTCTAAATCCGAATCCACCAGACGAGGACAACATGGATGTCAACAAACCAACGCCATCTTTACCACAGCCTGACACAATATTTCTAACAGTAGAATCACCAAGACAACTCAAGACACAAGACAAACATACAGCGGGTATGCCTTAGTTTTGTTTGGTATAACTAGTTAAGTAGCTGCATTGTAAGCCGTATACAATGTTAAAGCTTGTACGGTTTGATACTGTTTAATTAAAAAAAAAGAAAATAAATTTTGTTGTGTTTTCTTTTTTAAAGATCCTGTTTTTCAACATTTAATTCCTTTAAAATCATAAATTGTATATGTGCGACTATTCTCAGTTGAAGAACATCCTGACCTAGAGCGTAGACTCGCCTATATTGAAACAACACTATCGTCACTACAGGACACACAATACAAGTCTACAGATGACATATCAGAAATAAAACAATGGAGAGACAACTTTGTAACAGAACAGAGTGACATGGGGGTAAAAATTGAACAACTGACTAAAAAACAAAAGCAGAATTTTAAAAACCTCAGAAAACAAATGAGTGAACAAGATAACAAAGTAAAGGAGCTGAACAAAGAAATTGAAAGTTTAAAAGAAAAAGAATCCAGGCCAAACAAAACACAAGAGAAACTGTCTCAAGATATGAATGAATATGAAAACAAAATGCGCAAAATAAACAAAGAGATGCAAGATATAAGAGACAGTATGAAAGACAATATTAAAAGCAATTCTGATTTGATTGTTTCTTTACAAGATGAAAATAATAAAATCTTCGACAAAACATCAACCCAATTTGAAAAGTTACAATCAAAGGTAAATTTTAAAATTGCTGTATTTTTTGTTCACATTTCTATTCTTACTTGAAATTCAATTTACTTCAAATTGTTAAAAGGGGCCGTTGACTAATTTAACCTATAATCATAACTTTTATATAAATGCTAATTGTATGTGAGTTTTAATATACAATAAAAATAGTTAAATATTTAAATCTTCTGATATTTAGCACAATGTAATGTATAAACTCCTACAACAAAGATTGATGCCCATTGACAAACTGATTCAAATCTTTAACCAGAACTTGGAAACTAGGGAAGAAAATTTAAATAAGGTATGTTTGTAATACTGTATAAAAAATCATTTGCAACATTGATAAATCCTAAATTACTCCAGTAATGTCCATAATTTTGGGAATTCACTAATAAATAGTTTATTAATTAAATACAATAAATCATTTCCTTTTCTTAAAAGTTACCATTATCTATTGAAGCTAGTGGGTCAGTAGATGTGTGATTGTTTCATTTATTCCCTTTACACTTTATTTTAATTTAGCTGGGTGAACTTGAAAATACTATTTCAAAGTTGTCTAACGATTTTCATCTCATAGGTAAGTTTGCTTTTAAAAAAAAAAGTTTTTAAAACTTATTTATGTAACAATAGTGATTTTATGACAAGTTTATCTATTGATTTCCTCGTTTAAATGTAGGAATAGTAAAATATATCACATAATTCTCAATGATAACCAATCGGTAAAATGTTTTATACGTTTGTTTACCGCCCACTCTCACGCTCTCTCTAAATCTCTTACTCTCTGCATTTCTATTACACGGACGTACAGCGGTCTACCCTAGTACAGTAAGACATATACAGAGCTGCAGTTTAAAATTAACTAATTTTATTAACGTCACGTCATCCCCTTATGTTTCTTATATTAAGAAGTTTTCACATACGAGCCAGCTCTGAAATATAAAAAAGAAAGTAATAACCTGAAAACATTGATAATTATACATTTTTAATATCTTAGTATCTAATTAATTTGCTGTAAACTGAAATGAACATTACAAAATGCTGACTGTGCAAATCTTGTTATCGGTCATTATTAAGTAGGCCTACAACAGAACAACTTTAGTTCTAGTAATTCTTGTTTCGATAGATAAGTCATATATAATTAAACTATAATGTGAACACATACGGACTGCATGATTATAATGGGAGTCGGACGATTTCCCGAAAGACACTTGCCCGAATGCGACAATGCCCAAAAGCCATTTGCCCGAAAGCCGTTCGCCCGAAAAATGGGAACATTATTGATTACCAAAAGTCATTTTTAATCAATTTAAATTTGAAATGTTGATAATTAAATAAATGTCTAACCAAATTGAAAAGGAACAAAATACTATTTAATATCTGCAAGCAGGCATTATGAATTAATTAGTATTTGCTATATTATAGAAAGTGTAGGGCCTACATCTTTTGCTATCTATAAAACAAGACGAAAATACAATTTTCGCTTATCTGAGGTTTTTAAAATGATACTCATTGTGTGTATTATAAACAAATTTGTTTTTTATGCCCAGAATTGTGTTATCAAAATGTCAAACTTGAATTCATTAAGAATGTCTATTTGATATTAACAAATGCCCATTCGGATATTTGTCGCATAGGGAAAAGTGTCCGTTCGGGAAATCGGCCTAGGGGCAAACGGCATTCAATGTATTTCAGGAGTTTGACCCGGTTTTAGCAAAACGTGTTGTAAGTTTTGTGAGGTTTTAATTGACCTACAAAACTGGTAGTGTCAATACGTAGGAAACGATAACCTAACACCACACAAACTAAGGACCGTACTAATTTAGTGGTGTGGTGTTTCAATTTATGGTCTTTCACAAAGTTATGTAAACATTATTGATTATTATACATAGTTTATTTTTAAAAAAATAATTGTTTGATTTGGGTTTGTCAATTTTACTTACATTATAAACTGCATACAAAACACATATAATGAGATGATAACATAAGCTAAAGAAACGACAATTTACAAATATTATGGATCAAATAGCCAGAGCATTCGTAAAATTGAACATGTACATCAAACGCATGTTTTCTAATCAACAGAGTCACGTGTATGTAACAGATATGCTTGTTATGTGACGCTTGCTGATCCCACACCTGTCAGTACTAGAATAATTATTACAACATTTAAAGAAGTACGTGAATATAACGGTCAACATTTTAATCAAACAACAGGAACATTTGTATCACCACATGATGGTTTATATCTTGTCTCTGTCAGTCTACATGAATGGGGAGATAAACATATTGGAGTTGGTGTGGTGGCTGGAGAAGCGTGGTGTAAGTTTATAGAAGTGAAATGTGCAAGAAATAGTGCTGCTGGGTCAGTGGTTGTTGACATGAAGAAAGGTCAAGAACTTTTCTTTCCAGTGGTGGAAGCAGATAAAGACGCAGCTTTATCCTGCTACAGTAGTTTTACTATCGTTAGTTTATAGAAGTACAACACAAAACATGTTGGAAGGGAAATTCTAAAAACAATAAAATATGTAACCACCATGTAATACACACGCTTACCACTTACTATGTGTGTAGACTACATGTCCGCACAAACTTAAGTTGTTTATATGTTATTTGTTTAGTCATCATTTGGGATTTCTAGCTTATTCAATGTTCTCACCAATAAAGTGTCATACTTGACGACACTAAGCTAATATCTCTAATAGACTATAAGACTGCTTTGTTTAAATATCTTTACCAGTATGTGAGCACTAGGTGTGTGGTCTTATCATAATTTGCATGTTATTTGTTAAAAAACAAACTTATACCAGGAACTACATGATTATAAACTATTTAAAAAAGATTGTTAGAATGAGTTCACTTAACAAACATTAACATTTGTATTTTGTATTAAAAACAATAATTTGTTATTAACATTAAAAAATATTTTTTAAATTATTATACTGCAAAGAACTGTTGTCATTTTGATCACTACTGCCTTTAATTTGAAAAAAAAAACTGTTTCCGTGTTAGAATCATTTTTGTTTTTGGTTTGTATTCAGTAACATTGTGTCTGTATATTAACATACATTAACACCTATAATAATTATAACATCTATTTAGCTATCAAGTATATATGTATAAATATAAATAAATAAATAAATAAATAAATAAATAAATAAATAAATAAATAAATAAATAAATAAATAAATAAATAAATAAATAAATAAATAAATAAATAAATAAATAAATAAATAAATAAATAAATAAATAAATAAATATATATATATATATATATATATATATATATATATATATATATATATATGTTTGTTTGTGTGTGTAATCATGTATTTGTATGTATATGTATGTTAACACAGAGCCTTACATCGAAAATCAAAAAGCTCAGCAGTAGTGACAATCAAATCTACAGCCAAATGTGTACAATCATTGATTCCGATCTGTCTATTTAACAAATATAAATCATGTTTGTCTGTTTTATTTGATATTTTCATTTTAATTTTAAAATTAATACTATAACAAACACAAACAAATTAAACGACGCTATGTCTAATGAGTCTATGACGTCACACCCCTACGTAAGTTTCCCGTTTTCAAGTAATGGATCTCATTATTGCTTTCACTGAAGTAGAGAATTCGGTCCCTTTCCAAAATTAGGCTCAATAACCAGGGACAAATACTCATCTAGGAGAAAAACTCCTAAATGAAACAAGTGCTGACTTGTTCTTTGTTCTTTATATGAACAAATGCTATGGAATCAAAGCCAGAAATAAAAGCAGGATGTACACAGTTTTAGCGTGCAATATAGCGCATAGCATTTGACCCACGGCGATGTATTAGTTCTATGAAAATATTCAGGTTAAATCTGCCCAGACTAACACTGCTCGTTAACTAAAAAATTAAAAGGAAATATGAAAGGATCTAGCTACACATTGACTAACACAACATTCTTTTTACAATAGTTGGCTGGTGTTCTATTTTTGGTTTTACAATAAAATATCACAATTATTTCTTTTTGTTTTATATCTTCAACAACGTCTAGAACCAGCGTTGTCTGCCCACACGTGTGTTTGAGCTAAACCAAATCTTGTTTGTGTGAGCTAAACCAAGTCTTGTGTGTTAGAGCTAAACCAAATCTTGTGTGTGTGAGCTAAACCAAGTCTTGTGTGTGTTAAACCAAGTCTTGTGTGTTAGAGCTAAAGCAAATCTTGTGTGTGTGAGCTAAACCAAATCTTGTGTGTGTGAGCTAAACCAAATCTTGTGTGTGTGAGCTAAACCTAATCTTGTGTGTGTGAGCTAATCTAAATCTTGTGTGTGTGAGCTAAACCAAGTATTGTGTGTGAGCTAAACCGAATCTTGTGTGTGTGTGAGCTAAACCAAATCTTTTGTGTGTGAACTAAACCGAATCTTGTGTGTGTGAGAGAGCTAAACCAAATCTTGTGTGTGTGAGCTAAACCAAATATTGTGTGTGTGAGCTAAACCAAGTATTGTGTGAGATAGCTAAACCAATTCTTGTGTGTGTGAGCTAAACCAAGTATTGTGTGAGATAGCTAAACCAATTCTTGTGTGTGTGAGCTAAACCAAATCTTGTGTGTGTGAGCTAAACCTAATCTTGTGTGTGTGAGCTAATCTAAATCTTGTGTGTGTGAGCTAAACCAAGTATTGTGTGTGAGCTAAACCGAATCTTGTGTGTGTGTGAGCTAAACCAAATCTTTTGTGTGTGAACTAAACCGAATCTTGTGTGTGTGAGAGAGCTAAACCAAATCTTGTGTGTGTGAGCTAAACCAAATATTGTGTGTGTGAGCTAAACCAAGTATTGTGTGAGATAGCTAAACCAATTCTTGTGTGTGTGAGCTAAACCAAGTATTGTGTGAGATAGCTAAACCAATTCTTGTGTGTGTGAGCTAAACCAAATCTTGTGTGTGTGAGCTAAACCTAATCTTGTGTGTGTGAGCTAATCTAAATCTTGTGTGTGTGAGCTAAACCAAGTATTGTGTGTGAGCTAAACCGAATCTTGTGTGTGTGTGAGCTAAACCAAATCTTTTGTGTGTGAACTAAACCGAATCTTGTGTGTGTGAGAGAGCTAAACCAAATCTTGTGTGTGTGAGCTAAACCAAATATTGTGTCTGATGCTTACTTACACATGCACACTAGAGTACACATAAATGCTTGCACATACGTGCACACATGTGTATATGTGCACTCGAAATTTTGTATACATGCTTGCGGTGACACACATGTGTTGTTAAACCGTAAGGGTATGTTTCAGTACGGTATTCTAGACGGAGATATAACAGATATTTTTTCCTTATAAGGGTTTGTGAAAACACATTTTATTTTCGTAACCAATAAAAAACTATTTAAAAGTATTTATTATTATTATAAATGTAATTAATACAATTTTGACAAAATATTCACTTTATTTTTTAATTTAGTAGATGACATTCTGTAAAATCAAACTGGCATCAGTGGCTGTTGGAGTAACTGGATTAATCATAGTTTGTACCTGTTAGTGTACATGTTTGCGACAACCTTGTATAACAGTCCAGTTCTTCTACCGGGCTAGTGTAGGTTACTTCTTTGTACTTTTATATAGTCGCTAAATCGTAGTTTGTGTACAAGTTTTAGATTTAGAATCGCCTGTCTTTGCATAGTTATTGCAGGTATAATAAAACTCTCTTAAGTGTTGACGAGCCTGTGTTTTATTTAGTCTTGTGTTCTGTTACTCGTGTGTGTTTGTTTGTCTTTAGGTTGTTAGACCCATTTGTTAAACGCCGCGGCTTATCAGTGAGTTCACAACAGTAATATATAACAAATATGTTACATTATGTATTACATATTTAAAAAATATTTTTTACGGTTCACAGAAACACTTGTAGCTATATGAATTACAAGGATAGACACACCTCGCCTTCCATGCTACGTGTCATCACTTTTTCTCTTTTTAAAAGCAGACAGATATTTATGGACATTCATTGTTTATTGTATTGATATAAATGCAAATAATAACCGGTCAAAGTGAATGTCTTATGTTTGACTTTGTGATTATATGTTTTGTTATTTTGTTAGTTCACCATACAACATGTTTTGTGTTGCACTTCTATAAACTAACGATAGTAAAACTACTGCAGCGGGATAAATTTGCGTCTTGGTCTGAGAAACATTTTTGACGTTACTTCATGTCAACAACCACTGACCCAGCAGCGCTAGTATAGACACACTTATCTTATATAGACGTATAATAATTATCTCAAGACCACAGACCAACTCCAATGAATTTATCTGTGCTTTTATCAAGTGTCACACAGACAAGATAAAAACCATCCTGTAATGATACAAATAACCCTAGTGTTCGATAAAATCTAGACCGTAGTATCCACGTACCTAATCAAAAGTTCAATTTGTAACCGAAAAGTGTGGGACCCTAAAGCTCTTCATAACGAGCACATCTGTTACAAACACGTAACTATGTGGAGTAGAAAACATTTGTATCATTGACATGTTCAAGTTCACACATACATGCTAAGCTCTGAATATTTGATCCTTATAAGGAAACTTTGTCTCGTCATTAGTTAATGTTGTAACATTCAGTATTTGTTTTAGGCCATTTTACTGCAGGTGGGGATTGGGTGGGGGTTAAGTTAGTGTGATGAGTAGGCATTCTTAAAATATATTTTTTCTATAAAAATTATTATTATATAAAAATATATTTTTTCTTTCTAATTTTTGCAAGTGGATGGGAAATGGACGTGCTTAGGTCAATGACCCCCCCCCCCCCCCACACTCCGAAGAGGTGCCTTAAAAGAAATACTGATAACACCTAAAGACAAATACATTGTATGAGTTATTGTATGTGTATACAAAATTGACCTAAAATGAACAACAAAAAATGGAAGTATGGATTCTATTTTATTTATATTTACGCAATCATCTATAACGGGATAGTTTGAAACTGTAAGTTTAGTACCATCTTCAGTTATTCTGTAATACTTCTTCCACTCTAATGAACACCATTGTAATATTAGCACCATCAAACTCGTGTATTGCTTATTTAACATTAACCTACACGAACTAGATACGTATGTATTACTTAAAAGTAGTTACATTTACTGAGATTTCATTACAATTTAAAATGATTAAGTGAGGCCAGTGTTGGTAGATTTAACATAAATAATAGCAGAAGTAAAAAAATCACAGCAAAACGTGTGTGTATGTGTATCCATATTCAATTAGTGTTGTATGGGCAAATTATATCCCAACAAATCGTATTCTCATAACATTTATTGTTATCACACTTTTACATTAAAACTAGTGCTGACGTTTTTTACCACTGTAAACTTTGAAAAGTTTTCAGTTGTTGTCGTCGTCCCCCCCTCCCCATCGGAATGATATTTTAAATATACGCACAGAAAATAATAATAGTTGTATACTGTATATTCGGGCGTTTGTCACATTCGGGCGAGTGTCCATTCCGGCATCTGTCGCATTTGGGCAAGTGTCCATTCGGAAAATCGGCCTTCGGGCGAACGGCATTCGGGCAAGTGTCTTTCGGGAAAAAAAATTCGGCTCCCACTGTGTGCTATGTGAACACGAAAACAAAAGTACAAAACATTGCCTTGGATCGCATTGTGTATTGAAACAAAGCCAGTCGCCCACCCCATAAATACATGGCGCCACCCGGTACGGCCCATCTCCACCCACCTCTCGCTACACCTCTGATCTTTTATTGTGTGCCTGTCAAAACGAACTCAGCTATTTACTCTACGCTAAGTGATTTTATTATTTTATACAAATGATTGAATCGCTGATGTAATATCAAGAATGTTAGGGTACAGATCCCTACAAATACAGGATAAGCTGGCACATACTTGGCATGATTTGATTACAACATCACACAGTAGTTATAAATGATATAGTCACATGATATGTAAAATGGATGATAACACAATTTAAATGTGTTATATGTTAAAGGAGAAGATAAATGACAAGATATTAAGCCAAAGAACGGGACAGTACAAAGTACACATAAAACACAGACATCACTACATGGTACAGATAACTTATGTTATTGACTTGACATTTTGTTCATTGAAGTGAAGCGACAGTGTGTTGCTACTGGAAGTACAGCCTAAATCAAGGACAAAACAATTGAACACTTTGTTTTATTCTTCAGTCAAAAGTGAGTTCACATTTTTAAATAGTGAAGTTAATATTAAATCCTTGTTTTATTCAAAACATGTACGACAACAATAGAAATTTGAGTTCAATTTTCTGAAATTAATTGTTTATAAATAATGTTTAGATAATTTATATATATATATATATATATATATATATATATATATATATATATATATATATATATATATATATATATATAGTGTATGATAAATGTTTGATTCTCACGATGTAGGCTACCATGCAGTGAAAATTTGTTATAACGTCTTTCTAAATCGCAATGTGCGTTCCAGCGTGTGCATTCTAATTATTTCTGCTTTGCTCAGATGCGTCCTAGAGTGCAAGTCAAATATGTTACAGAACACATGAACTATTTAGAAGATAAGATACACGTCATTAAACCTGTGGTTGAAGCTTTGCAAGCTGTAAGTGGTTATTGTCTCTGCCTGCATTCATCATTGACTAGGTGCTTTTTATATTAAGCTTGTTGTAGATAAAGACTACAAACATTAAAAATCACACTGACACACATTTTAACGCTAAGGCAAAATGATTTATGTCAGCAGGCTGTAGACAAAAGTAAGACTTGGTTAGAAGATAAACGTGACAACGAATCTTTGACATACTGTGATCTATGTCAAGAACTTGAATCAGCTACCTTGACCTTGTTGGATGTAGCGGCTCATATCTTAGGTAAATATTTTAAAATATAAGTCTCTTTTATCTTAATTGATATTCTGTTATATCTCGATAATGTAATACAAATAATAAAGTAAAAACTGGAGAATTAAATATGTTTTGTATTTATTTAAAATTAATATATATTCATATTATCAAATAATATTAATCATTTATATAAATTCTAAAGAAAGTATTTTACATACAAAAATTAACACACAAAACTTAAATTAATAAAAATTAAATATTATGTAAAACTACAAGTGAATTATTATTTTACATATTTAAAATAATTTATGTTCTCTGAAAATTACAAGACGAAAATAAAGACATTTTTGATGTTGGAAGGTCATTTTCATCTCAGTCTACCTCACAAACTAAAGCAGAAAAATGTGGCACTAGTCAGTCAACAGATCAAATCCTTAACGAACTCTATAAATCACCAGGTATCAAAACACACATATTTTTTTTTTAAAATTAAGTTAAAACAAATATTTTCATACCGAATGATTCAAATATATTTTCTTAAAGGAAAAGTAGCATATTATAATGATTTTCAAACTTTATTACTATTGCGATTGACTTAATTTTATATTGTCCTAGAAATATTGAGTCGACTTGTGCAGATAGAGACAACCATATCTTCTCTACAAGACGCTAATGACAAGTCTACAGATGACATATCAGAAATAAAACAATGGAGAGACAACTTTGTAACAGAACAGAGTGACATGGGGGTAAACATGAAACAACTAACGAAAAAAACAGACTTTTAAAAACCACATAAAACAAAAGATTGAAAAAGATAACAAAGTAAAGGAGCTGAACGAAGAAATTGAAAGTTTAAAAGAAATAGAAACCAAGTCAAACAAACACTAGAGAAACTGTCTCTAGATATGAAAGAATATAAAAAAAAAATTACACAAAGAAATACATCATCACACAAATTAAACAGGCATTAATAACCCAAGAAACTAAAAGACATTCTGATCAGATTATATCTTTTGAAAAATATAATAATAAAATACTGTGTTACGTCCGGGTTCGATTCAACTCAACAACGATTCGTTACACTTATAGTATACATTTTATTTGGACTCAATTCTTCACATAACAGAGTATCCTTCGCCCTAACCGCTACCAACTAACAGATGGCAACCATTCACGCCAACTTTTATATCGCATTCGACTTTGGGATAACAATACATCAACACACCGGGGTTAACAATACCTTAGGGTAAACTCAACTCACACACGCACTCTCCCCTAATTCTAGATTATTCTAAGCTATTTCTATCTAACCTACAACTGACCCGTAACGTGTTGGTCGATACATCCAAGGTAAACATTCACATATATAATTAATTTGGTACACATTTGTACACCTACTTTCAAGTTTACAAGTCTATATATTATAACCAAATTGTAACATGTAATTAAAAGTTGGTTGATTACATTTTTTGCCAGTCATACTTTGGATTTTGAAACTAAATTTAAGGCATAAGTTAATATCAGCAATTTTAATATGCAATAGAAATAGTCAAATTTAAAATAATCCATTTAGCACAAGTTGATGTACAAACTCCTACAACAAAGATTGATGCCCATTGACAAACTGATTCAAATCTTTAACCAGAACTTGGAAACTAGAGAAGAAAGAATAAAGAAGAACTATTTGTAATAAAAATATAAAAATAAATAAATTGCAATGCATTAATTACTAACGCCTTGATATTAGTCCAATAAATGACCCTCTGATTTCGTTAATTAATTTATATTTATAAAACAGCTTTCAATTCTTTTTTATTCTTATACGTTGCCATTTCCAATTATTGTCAGCAAAGCTATTTATGTTAAATGTTACAATGTGATTGTTTCATTTATATAATTTATACTTTGTTTTAATTTAGATTGACAATATTGAAAATACTATTTCAAAGTGTACCAAAGAAATTCATCTGATCGGTAAGTGTGCCTTGAAAAACAAAAACAATAAATGAAAATAAATAAAGAATTATCTTAAAACAATAATGATGTAACAATAAATATACTTTACCTCTGGTGGAAATGTTACATAGCTAATACTTTGACGTAGAAAAATCGATGTTAACCGATCTGTACTCAATTTATCACTTTAGCTTACATCTGTTCAATATCTCCCCACCCTCTCTATCTCCGCACCTTATTCCCGCCCCACAAATCTCTGTCATTCTCTTACACAGACAGACCATAACGTGATGCTCGTTAACCAGACAGACCATAACGTGATGTTCGTTAGCCAGACATACCATAACGTGATGTCCGTTAGCCAGACAGACCATAACGTGATGTTCGTTAACCAGACAGACCATAACGTGATGTTCGTTAGTCAGACAGACCATAACGTGATGTTCGTTAGTCAGACAGACCATAACGTGATGTTCGTTAACCAGACAGACCATAACGTGATGTTCGTTAGTCAGACAGACCATAACGTGATGTTCGTTAGTCAGACAGACCATAACGTGATGTTCGTTAACCAGACAGACCATAACGTGATGTTCGTTAGTCAGACAGACCATAACGTGATGTTCGTTAACCAGACAGACCATAACGTGATGTTCGTTAACCAGACAGACCATAACGTGATGTTCGTTAGTCAGACAGACCATAACGTGATGTTCGTTAACCAGACAGACCATAACGTGATGTTCGTTAGCCAGACAGACCATAACGTGATGTTCGTTAGCCAGACAGACCATAGCGTGATGTTTGTTAGCCAGACAGACCAAAACGTGATGTTCGTTAGCCAGACAGACCATAATATGATAAAGAATGGAACATTTCACTCACCCATAGTGCCAGTCTCTAGACCCGTGGGTTTCCGTCAGGTGTTTGTTTCCTCACCTGCTACATTACACCACCTGGTATGTCGGGGGTCGACCTACAGCGGTCTACCCTAGTACAGTAAGACATTACACAGCTGTAGTTTAAAATAAAATAATTTCAATTATCGTCACATCATCCCTTTATGTTTCTAATATAAAGACGGAGTCCCATACGAGCCAGGGGTTAAATCTAAAAAATAAAAAAAATAACTGAAAGACAAAAATAATTGTTACATTTTTAGCATCTTATATAAAATTAATTTATTGTAACATGAAATAAGCTATAGAATAGGTTGATGGTGCTAATTTTGTCAATCGTTTTATTAGAGTTTCAAAAGTACAACATACTAAATTAAGTACTAGAGATTCTTGTTACGATAAATTAACAATACAAAATTAAACTATACGGACTGAATGATTTTAACATTTGTCGTACCATTTGTGAGGTATTAATTGAAATACTACCCTCGCAGTTTCAATACGTAGGACACGATAAACTAACACAACTAAAACTGAGGACCGTACTAAACTAGTGGTCTAGTGTTTCAATTTGTGGTCTTAGACAAAATTATGTAAATTGTATGGATTATTATACAAAATTCATTTTTGAAAAAAAAAATATTTAATTTCCGAATAAAATATACATTTGTAAACGCATGTGGTCTTGATATGGGGGGGGGGGGAGGGGCTCGGGTCATTATCAACGTCCACATGTTGAAATTAACAAAATAATTTTTAAAAATGCACATAAAATATTGGTTATACATTAAATCGGCAGTTCTCGTGTTGAATTTCCCCAGCACAACGGGTGAATAAATGTAGCCAAAATGTAATTGTATACCGCCAGCCTAGGAAAACAAGCGGAGATTGATTTACAATCGTGGGGAGGGGTCAGTGATCGCAACAATTATCTGAAATATTTCACGATATTTCAATTTTATTTTTAAACATTTCAACTTGTTAAAGCTTTACTTTTGAAAACAATTGGAACAATTTTGTGTCAACACCTAAGACGATGTAGATCTAGTGATTTTTTCTTCAAGTAAAAAAAACAACAAATGATCACGTTACAGTAAGATATTTAAATAACAGCACGTGTATAATACGCTCGCTTGGTCAGGTGTGTAGGGCTTACGGTCAGCGCGACTACTACTAAAGGGGGGGGGGGGGGGGGTGTTTTGTTATGGAAACATGTGTAGCGTTGAGTACGAGTAATGTAATGACGTCACGTTTATTTGTGAATTTACCCAACCCATTTATTCGTAAATAGCTAGACAGACGCAAATGACATTAAAATGTTCGGTCTACTCTACAGCATCTTCAGTGAAAAAAAATTGCTAAAATTTCAAATTTTTGTGGACGTCATAAATGGATGACAACATTCGTGAAATTAAACATGTTCATCATACATAATATGCATAATATGTTTTCCAATCAACAGAGTCACGTGTATGTAACAGATATGCTTGTTATGTGACGCTTGCTGATCACACACCTGTCAGTGTTGGATCAATTATTTCAACATTTAAAGAAGTACGTGAATATAACGGTCAACATTTTAATCGAACAACAGGAACATTTGTATCACCACATGATGGTTTATATCTTGTCTGTGTAACTCTACATGAATGGCGCGATAATTTTATTGAAGTTACTGTGTGGGCTGGAGACAGGTGTTGTACGGGTATAGCAGTGAAATGTGCCGCCACTAGCGCTGCTGGGTCAGTGGTTGTTGACTTGAAGAAAGGTCAAGAACTTTACTTTCACGTGTCTCACGCATATCAAGACGCAATATTAACCAGCTACAGTAGTTTTACTATCATTAGTTTATAGAAGTACAACACAAAACATGCTGGATGGTAAATTCTCATATAAAACATATAACCACCATGTTAAACACATGCTAAAAACTTGCTATGTGTGTAGACTACATGTCTACGAAAATATGTTTATATAGAGTTTTTTAGACATCATTACACAGTTCCAACTAATCCAATGTAATCACCAATTATTATGTTCTACGTAACCACGAGAAACATATCAGATAAATCTATTTTTAAATACCTTTTGTTTTGATGAATAACAACTGTATGTGTACTATTTTATTTGTTAAAAATAAAACCTAGTTTTTTGTGTTGAAAAATAATAAATTGTAATCCACATTTTCGAGGCAAACTAAATGAACTATTTAAACAATCAGAAGCTGGAATAAGTTCACTTAAATATGTGTCAGATATATTTTTAAATAATTATCCACGTTATGCATGTAAATATTTTGAAAGACACTGCCAGTAACTGGTATTTTGTTTCGAGGTAAAAAAATAAATAAATTACTGTTATTCTCTATACAAAACAACTCTTGTGATTTTATTCAGTAACATTGTATGTAAATTAATACCTACCTAAACACACACACAATAATAGACCATACAAAGTCTATATATATATATATATATATATATATATATATATATATATATATATATATATATATATAGTCCGTAACACAACCGTTAATCAACTAATATCTTGCCTCTGTCCAATGATTTATCTAAATCATACATACAACACCGCCTGTGTTACACGAGCTTAATAAAAGATCGGGCGCCGAAGTAAAAGTTATATTACTATTGATTAGATAATACTATTGACTTTTATTAGTAGCTTGTAGAGAGTCAACAGTATTAGAAACTGTAAGAAAATCACGGCGCCCCACGTTTTTGATCGCTTATAGTAGAGTGATCGCTTGCATTATTGTGCTGTATAGCAATTATTTTCTACTTTGTATCTCAATCAGAAAACGTGGGTTTTTTAAAACTTTTTAAATGATTATTATTTTCTACTTTTTAGTCTTTGTCTGTTTGCATTAAAATCCTGCTATCGATTTTATCTTTTCACTTTTTTTTGGGTAAACGAAGACAACTCGTAAAAAGACAACTCGTAAAAAACACGTTGTGTGAATACGTTACTGACTAGAACACATAGATTTGAACCCGTGTCGAGTGGGATAGCAATCGTGTGCCCAACCACTCGACCATATCGTCTCCCCCATTCTGGCCACCATTTGTTACGGTTGTTTGTACACAAACACCGCGTGAACACTACTCAGTAAGCAAAGAGGGAGAGTACCGAACCTTGTTTTCATCATATTACAGTTACTGGGTTATGTCCCCTTTTCCCCACGTTTTACTACAATTATATAGCGGTATAAATGCTCAATAAAATGTTTCCATGGATCAATTTAGTAATAATAACAATTGAATATTCTATAGTCATCGGAAACAAAGCTTCCCTGAAAATTTCAGCGCGCTAGCTAACTGGGAAGTGCCCGAAATATCGATCGCAAGATTTGATTGGAGAACCAAACAAACTGACGCGAAAGCAAGTTAAAGAAAACATGGGAAAAAAAGCAAACTTTACACAAATTTGCTTTTGCAATTTGTTATCTCCCTTTGAAACACTAACTGTAATTTGTTTATCTCCACGCTCCTGTAAAGTTACAATAACAAGGTAGTTACCATCATCTGGTGCTGCAAGTTTTCCTGTTGTCTGATTAAATTGATAGCCGTTAGGTTCCCACAGAAGTTGAAAAGTAGAAAGAATTGATCCAGCAGTTACCGGTGTGTTGTGATCTAGGTAGATGTCACAGATGTAAGGCTACATACACGGGCCTCTGTTGGTAGTAGATATTAGTGATTTCATCTTTAACCATGTGCGAGTCAACATGAGTATCTTTGTGGGTCCACATGTGTATCTGTGTGGCTTGTTGTGTGGTCAAGTTGTGGGGGAGAATAGGCGGCTTGTGTGTGTGATAAATGGTCATTATTAAAACATTTTTAAAAAGTGCATATAATACCTCTGCATGTTGCCTAAAGTGCACATGACACTAAACAGACGACTTTAGTTGCAATACATAAATGTAAGCCTATACATTTACTGTCGGTTGGGTACTGGTGTATGTGATATTTTGTTTTATAACACGCCCAGTACAAGAAAACTACAGAGAAAAGGATGAGATCGGGCTCCCAGTGTTCCCCAGCGACTTTTAATCTCACTTTCAATGACCTCCAGCTTAAATTTAAAAAAATAAAAAATAAAAGTTATCACATTAAATAATATAGGTAACAAACTCAACTTTTGGATCTATTGATATTGATAATTATAACATATTATATACATAATATAATGTTATAACTAAGAGTTTTGTTGCTAATTACAATACATTGGATGGCATCTGAAACAAGTAATTATAAACTTGATTTAGAGAGAAAAGTTAATGTGCATTAGGGTTCTAAGCAAAGGTGATACGTTTTGGAATGTTTATTTATTTTTATCAAAATCACAAAACAATTTTACATTAAAGAACTTCACCTTCTTTAAATGCTGTTCTCTATTTTCGAATCTTTGGTTAAACATTTGAAACATTTTTGTCAAAAGGCATCAATCTTTGTTCTAGGGGTGTGTACATCACGCTGTGCTGTGATTTTAAAACAAAAAGAATAAGTGTGTCATTTTAAATGCAGATATCATTATATATAAAAGACCTTGTGCGCATTTGTCTTTCCCTCTCTCTCTCTCTCTCTCTCTCTCTCTCTCTCTCTCTCTCTTTCTCTCTGTCCGTAACATATTTTCCAAAGCTATAAATTCAGTATCTTCAGCGATACATGGAGAACTTAAAGATACAGACTTTTATTAAAAATAATTATGTGGGTGTATGAAATGTATCAACTAAATTTTATTTGAAGAAGGAAAAAAATCATTTTTTAATGTAAAAACACAACTTTAATTATTCAACCAGCGAACTGTTTATGTTTGTGACAAGAACGCTCTAGAGAACATATAAGTAACACAAAAACTATCACTGGCAAATAAAACGACATCACTAGATACAAATAGAAACAATCCTTATTGAACAATGTTACTAAAACGCTTGAACTACGGAAAGTACACAACACGAATGGCTTCAGTGATTGTAATATTAAAATATAATTACAAATTTAATGTCAAACATGTACACGATACTAATGAAGTCATCTTAAATAAGATTCGAGTCCCACGCCTTTCAATTCTAGAATATGATTTGATTTCGATCTATAGATCTACTTATCAATACGCATGCTATGAAATGCATACAATTTTCTCGGCTAAAAATGTAAAAAAAAATGTTTGAAACAAAAATACTATTAAATAGCCGGGTTTTAAAAGAAGTCACTTAACCCGTGTGTGCATTTAATATGCTTTTGTGTGGACTAATATTTTTCAAATTTGTTTTAATTTTTCTAATTGGTATTGGTAGCCTATGCTATTTTAAATGTGTAAGAGTCTTAACTATTTAGTAATTTCTTTGGTCAGTCACTAATATCGTCACTAATATCGTTCAATGTGCAGTAAAGCACATTGTGTTTTGAACAATAACTATTTCATAAAATATATTTCTCAAACATGTATAACATTTTTAAAGTATAGGCCATAAAACAAATGTTGAAAGAAATTACAGATGAGCTTAAGAATAGTTTACACAAATATTTCGAAAATGTAATTTTAATTTGACGTACCTTTAAATGTAATTTATCAATCCTGTTTGAGGCGTCGGCCATTATTTTGCTATTATCTGTGTAAACTTGCATCTCTGAAGTTATTTTCTGTAAATTGTTTTCATATTTTTTCATACTAGAGACATTTTCTCTAGTGTTTTCTTTGACTTGGATTCTTTTTCTTTTGAATTTTCAATTTCTTTGTTCAGCTCCTTTACTTTGTTATCTTGTTCACTCATTTGTTTTCTGAGGTTTTTAAAATTCTGCTTTTGTTTTTTTGCTGAGTTGTTCAATTCTTGTTGTCCAGTCGCTCTGTTCTGTTACCAAGGTTTCTCTCCATTGTTTCAGTCCTGACACGTCATATTCAGTCTTTTGTTTCGTTTCTTGAAGAGAAACTATAGCCTTCTCAACAAGTTTCACTCGATGTAACAAATCTGATTTGAATAAGATTGATTATATTTTATATGTATATTGAATACAAGGTTTAAACCCATTTCAGAAAGAAAATGAGAGATGCATCCACAGACTAGTAACAACATTTAAAAAAAATTAAACTAGTATATTCTAACAACTTTTTAAACGTAAATAGTTAATAACTGTTTAGGCGACATTAGTTACAACACCTATTAAACTTATATTTGTTCTTTAGTTTAAAAAACTCTCCTTCCAGTTTGAGATCCCTTGGTGTCAGATACACAAGGTGTCTTGTGTTGTACAACTGTCGTAGTACACTGCATGTTGTATTCTGTAAAAAAATGGTTGGTCTAACGATGGGTTATTTGAAACTTTTTAAAAGGTCTTTCATTGGTAAGAATCTATAATTTAATTTAGAATAAAAAGCTCTAAAACAAATATGTTTATATCAAGACTGAAAGTAACACTCAGTTTAAACTTTGATTTGATTTGCTACATGCTTAATCAATCTAAAATAACTATATTAACCAATATGTGTTTAAAAAAACTCTTGCTTTGTGTATGCTCAACATAAAATAAACACTATTCTCTAAAGTAATAGCTAAATGCCATGCCTAAATTTTCTGTTATATGTTACACAATTTATGTTTCAAAACTGAGATTAAAGAACTAAAACCAAAAGCTGAACATAGCATTTAGGCTGCCAAATCTAAAAGCAAGATACAAATGTTAAGTTTACCAGATATAATATCTAGATATTCTATCAATGTAGCATTCGCGGATGTTACCATGGCAACTACATCTTTAAATGCCATTTCAGTGTCCGACATTTTATCCTTCCAGTTCCTGGCTTTTAGTTTGATCTAATTAATTAGAGCAAATGGATTAGTAGATAAATAGTTTTCTAATCTTTATACATGTTTAGTTTATAAATGCTCGTTTTTAGCAAAGGCATAAACCATACAAGAAAATATTAATATTTTAAATACAGGTTTCACATAAGTTCGATTTAAAGTATATAAGTGCATTAAAAACATATAAATTAGACTCACCTGTATGACAAAATGACTTAAATTACTTTGTAGATGAACATGCATCTTCTCTAACTGTTCCAACAAAATGTTTAAAGATTCATGGGTGGGGTTGTACTCAGACATCTACATGTAAGTGATAGATAGGCTAAATAATTGTTCATTTGAAAGTAACATCTACATGTGTTTTATAAAGTGGCACCTCTACATTGCTAACCGATAAAGTGATCATAAATGCATGTGACTCTTAATAACATACAGTGGCGTAGTTAGTGTAGGGCGGGTGGGAAGACCGCCGACCTTAATGGGGCGTCAAATCGCGTAGAAAACATTGATAGCTGAGCTATTGAATAGTCTAAGTGTGGTTCAAAACAAAAAGTAGTGACTGGTAAAAAGCGCCACCAACCTTTTCAACTGGTGCTGCGGTGGGGGGAGGGGGGAGATTTTTCAACTAACATCAATAAATATAATTTAAGTGGGAGGGGGCACAAAATCGATAGTTCGCCCCGGGGCCGGCTTGTGTTGCTACACCCCTGATAGCATACGACTGCAGATGCAATACCCCAGTGAAATATTTAAACTGCGAGATACAAATGTTACGCTTAAACTTGTATTTTACGCCCTCTACATATGACATATTGAATTCAATTTCGCATTTCAACTTCACCCACGTTAGTTGCTATGTAAATAAATAAAACGACGTGTTTGTGATCTACAGTTATTTACATACCTTTAGAATACGTTGTTTTGATTTCTTGTTGTGGCTGATCTACACGTAGTTAAATCACCACTACAAGAGAGATAACTCTCATATTGACAACGCGTTTCGGGAAATCCCGCTATTATTTAAAGCAGGAAGTTCTGCAACTCTACAAAATTCTAGTCGTTTGATTCCTCACAACAAATAATAATCATTAAAAAAGTTTTTAAAAACCCACGTTTTCTGATTGAACTAAAAAGTAGAAAATAAACGCTATACATCACAATAATGCAAGCGATCACTCTACTATAAGCGATGAAAAACGTGGGGCGCCGAAGTAAAAGTTATATTACTATTGATTAGATAATACTATTGACTTTTATTAGGGAGCTTGTAGAGAGTCAACAGTATTAGAAACTGTAAGAAAATGACGGCGCCCCACGTTTTTGATCGCTTATAGTAGAGTGATCGCTTGCATTATTGTGATGTATAGCGTTTATTTTCTACTTTTTAGTTCAATCAGAAAACGTGGGTTTTTAAAAACTTTTTTAATGATTATTATTTTCTACTTTTTAGTCTTTGTCTGTTTGTTTGCATTAAAATCTTGCTATCGATTTTATCTTTTCACTTTTTTTGGGTAAACGAAGACAACTCGTAAAAAGACAACTCGTAAAAAGACAACTCGTAAAAAGACAACTCGTAAAAAACACGTTGTTTGAATACGTTACTGACTAGAACACATAGATTTGAACCCGTGTCGAGTGGGATAGCAATCGTGTGCCCAACCACTCGACCATATCGTCTCCCCCAAACTGTCCTACCTCCTGTAAGTTTAAACTCGGTTCAAGCTAAATTCTCTGCCCCTAAGCCTGTGGCGACATGTGATCGTTCGCTTCACTGCGCGCGAGGTACGCGTCGCTGGTTTTTTTTCTAATGGCTAGCAGAGGAGAATTATATATATAGATTATATAGCGGTCTAAAATGCTCAATAAAATGTTTCCATTGATCAATTTAGTAATAATAACAATTGAATATTCAATGGTCATCCAAAAGAAAGCTTCCCTAAAAATTTCAGCGCGCTAGCTAACTGGGAAGTGCCAGAAATTTCGATCGCAAGATTTGATTGGAAAGACAAACAAACAAACAAAGACACAGAGAAAGCAAGTTAAAGAAAACGTGGGAAAATAGCCCTACATAAGGTACTGCTAATCTTTAATCTATTTTCATCTATTTTTAAAACAGCATTTCCTTTTAATATAACCAAACAACCAAAAAATAATGAATTTCAAACAAAATCAAAAGCTCTTCTACTTCCTTAATTCGTACTTAGTTATGATATATAATTATATTGTTTTATTTATAAAGCTTGATAATATATAATTTCCTTAAAATATACTTATTAATAGAAAAGTATGTAGGTCGTTCTATAAAAAAAGTATTTTATTACTGTATATTTAGGCTTCACAGACAAATTGTAAAATAGTTCATCACAACGCTGGATAGATAATGAAAGTGAAATACGGAAATTCCCAAGTGTGTAATTTTAGCAAGCAGAAAATAACATAAGTGAAGCCAAGGAAAACTATCGCATTTTTCTGATATGTATTACATTATTAACTACATTAGTTAACAGATCTAAAAAAGAAATATAACAATATTTATTTAAAGTAGTTTTCATTTAATTGTGGATTGCCGATTAAAGTTTAATAATATAGGACAAAAACTTAGTCTTGGTAGATTTATAACTCATTTATTAGATTGTATTTCATTGTTATAATTAACTCTTTATTTACTGAGTTAATTTCTGGATGAATTTTTTTTTCTTAAACAATGAATTATTATATTACTTTTGGTAAACTAAAATTATACTTGACTCAAGGAAGATTATAGATATATAAATGATTATAAAGATTCGCCTTAAATTAAAATAATTTAAGAGCTTGACTTATTTATGGTACCGTCAGTAGATAAAGGGTGGCACTTGAAATTTTTATTGGGGGGGGGGGGGGGGGGGGGGGGGAGGCGGGCAAACTAAAATTTTCAGGAAGGGGGGGGGGGGGAGGGCGGACACTGTTAAAAGTATATATTTTCGATATTTCGTTATGGGGGCGGTAGACTATCTTCGAGGGGGGGGGGTACATTGAAGAAACACTTCTTCTTCTTCGCTCTTAATTTTCAGTGTTGGCAAGGATCGAGCCTTATCTGCCAGAAGAAACACTGCTTTAGATTTGCTTAGTTATGATGACAGAGTTAACATATTTTTTTTTAATTTAGCGTTATTAACATTTAGATGCCTTCAAGAATTCAGGTCAAGCTTGTTACGGAGCGCAAGAAATATTTGGAAGAACAGATAAACGTTCTGGAACCTGTTTTGGGAAATATGAAAAATGTAAGTCATTACAAACTAAAAAGTTTTCGTAATACTTAAAATTTAAACATCATTTTATTCACGATAAAGTAGGTTTAGCGTTTTTTGAACACTTGTTTAGGAAAGTATCAATCCAACACGTGACCAATTGACAATATTGTTGTTGTTTACTTTCACCAGGTTGTTACAAAAAGTAAGGCGTGGCTAAAAGAAAAAACTGACCAATCATCTGTCAGCTACATCGAGCTATCACAAGAACTGGACACAGCAGCCACGGCCTTGTTGGATGTGACGTCACATATTTTAGGTCAATACTTTAATAGTTTTTATAATTTAAAATCGCAAAGCCTACTGTCATGTGTCATGTGTGTTCAGTAATGAAGTGTTTCTACTGAGAAAAATGCAACGAAATTCTTTTACAGTTTAGTTAACAGGCATTACAAGTACTAAGTTAAAGAGATATAATTTTACTGTCTAACAAACCACTTTCCTCTTTTCTATGAAATCGACGTCACATTAGTGAATATTGTAAATCAATATATCAACAAAAAAAAAGATTTTTACAAGCACATCGTGTAACCTTATTCGCCCTAAAACAACGTTGAAGAGCCTTAATTGTCTATAGAACATTAAGGTTTTTTTAAATTAATTTTTATTATAAATTCGATAATTATTCTTGTAAAAGTTAATTTTAAAACAATATATAGATTTCGGTTATTTTGGAATTATTTGTATTTGTATACATTTGGATCATATTCAAAGTTCTTTTTTATCAGAGCATTACATGGTTTACGTTATAGTTTAACTAGCTAACATAGCAACATTTTTTGTGTGTACTTTAAAATCCTGTGACTTCAACTGCAATTAAAATAAAATTCTAAACCCCAATACACCAGATGAGGACAACATGGATGTCAACAAACCAACGCCATCTTTACCACAGTCTGACACACAGACAACAGCAACATTTCAAATAGTAGAATCACCAAGACAACTCAAAACACAAGACAAACATACAGCGGGTATGCCTTAGTTTTGTTTAGTATAACTAGCTAAGGAGCTGAATCATAAGCCGTTTACAATGTTAAAGCTTGTACGGTTTGATACTGTTTAATTAAAAAAAAAGAAAATTAATTTTGGAGTCTTTTCTTTTTTTTAAGATCCTATTTTTCAACATTCATTCCTTTAAAATTACAAACTTATATTTGCGACTTTTCTCAGTTGAAGAACATCCTGACCTAGAGCGTAGACTCGCCTATATTGAAACAACACTATCTTCACTACAGGACACACAACACAAGTCTACAGATGACATATCAGAAATAAAACAATGGAGAGACTACTTTGTAACAGAACAGAGTGACGTGGGGGTAAACATTGAACAACTGACTAAAAAACAAAAGCAGAATTTTAAAAACCTCAGAAAACAAATGAGTGAACAAGATAACAAAGTAAAGGAGCTGAACAAAGAAATTGAAAGTTTGAAAGAAAAAGAAACCAAGTCAAACAAAACACTAGAGGAACTGTCTCTAGATCTGAAAGAATATGAAAACAAAGTGCGCGAAATAAACAAAGAGATGCAAGATATAAGAGACAGTATGAAAGAAGGAATTAAAAGCAATTCTGATTTGATTGTTTCTTTACAAGATGAAAATAATAAAATCTTTGTCAAAACATCAACCCAATTTGAAAAGTTACAATCAAAGGTAAATTTTAAAATTGCTGTATTTTTTGTACACAGTTCTATTCTTACTTGCAATTCAATTTACTTCAAATTGTTAAAAGGGGCAGTTGACTTATTTAAACTATAATCATAACTTTTATATAAATGCTAATTGTATGTGAGTTTTAATATACAATAAAAATAGTTAAATATATAAATCTTCAATTAAGCACAATGTAATGTATAAACTCCTACAACAAAGATTGATGCCCATTGACAAACTGATTCAAATCTTTAACCAGAACTTTGAAACTAGGGAAGAAAAATTAAATAAGGTATGTTTGTAATACTGTATAAAAATCATTTGCAACATTGATAAATCCTAAATTACTCCAGTAATGACCATAATTTTTGGGAATTTACTAATAAATAGTTTATTAATTAAATAAGAATATACAATAAATCATTTCCTTTTCTTATAAGTTACCATTATCTATTGAAGCTAGTGAGTCAGTAGATATGTGATTGTTTCATTTATTCCCTTACACTTTATTTTAATTTAGCTGGGTGAACATGAAAATACTATTTCAAAGTTGTCTAACGATTTTCATCTCATAGGTAAGTTTGCTTTGTAAAAAAAAGTTTTTAAAACTTATTTATATAACAATAGTGATTTTATGACAAGTTTATCTAATGATTTCCTCGTTTAAATGTAGGAATAGTAAAAGATATCAAATAATTCTCAATGATAACCAATACGTTTGTTTACCGCCCACTCTCACGCTCTCTCTAAATCTCTTACTCTCTGCATTTCTATTACACGGACGTACAGCGGTCTACCCTAGTACAGTAAGACATATACAGAGCTGCAGTTTAAATTTAACTAATTTCAATTAACGTCACGTCATCCCCTTATGTTTCTTATATTAAGAAGTTTTCACATACGAGCCAGATCTGAAATATAAAAGGAAAGTAATAACCTGAAAACATTTATAACTATACATTTTTAACATCTTAGTATCTAATTAATTTGCTGTAAACTGAAATGAACATTACAAAATGCTGACTGTGCAGATCTTGTGATCGGTCTATATTAAGTAGGTCTACAACATAATAACTTTTGTTCGTGTATTTTTGTTTCGATAGATACATATACAATTAAACTATAATGTGAACACATACGGACTGTATGATTATAATGGGAGTCGGACGATTTCCCGAAAGACACTTGCCCAAATGCGACAATGCCCAAAAGCCATTTGCCCGATAGCTGTTCGCCAGAAAAATGTGAACATTACTGATTACTAAAAGTCATTTTTAATCAATTTAAATTTGAAATGTTGATAATTAAATAAATGTCTAACCAAATTGCAAGGGAACAAAATACTATTTAATATCTGCAAGCAGGCATTATGACTTAATTAGTATTTGCTATATTATAGAAAGTGTAGGGCCTACATCTGTTGCTATCTATTTTGTGTTATCAAAATGTCAAACTTGAATTGATTAAGAATGTCTATTTGATATTAACAAATGCCCATTCGGATATTTGTCGCATTCGTGAAAGTGTCCGTTCGGGAAATCGGCCTTGGGGCAAACGGCATTTGTCGTAGACCCGGTTTTAGCATATCGTATATAACATGTGTTGTACGTTTTGTGAGGTTTTAATTGACCTACTAAACTGGTAGTGTCAATACGTAGGAAACGATAACCTAACACCACACAAACTAAGGACCGTACTAATTTAGTGATGCAGTGTTTCAATGTATGGTCTTTCACAAAGTTATGTAAACATTATAGATTATTATACATAGTTTATTTTTTGAAAAATAATTGTTTGATTTGGGTTTGTCAATTTTACTTACATTATAAACTGCATACAAAACACATATAATGAGATGCTAACATAAGCTAATGAAACGACAATTTACAAATATTATGGATCAAATAGTCAGAGCATTCGTGAAATTGAACATGTACATCAAACGCATGTTTTCTAATCAACAGAGTCACGTGTATGTAACAGATATTATGCTTGTCATGTGGATCTTGCTCATTTCACAACTGCCAGTGTTGGATCAATTATTTCAACATTTGATGAAGTACGTGAATATAACGGTCAACACTTTAATCAAACAACAGGAAAATTTGTATCACCACATGATGGTTTATATCTCGTCTGTGTAGCTCTAAATGAATGGGACGATGAACTGATTAGAGTCGCTGTGGTGGCTGGAGACGTGTGGCGTAAGACTATAGAAGTGAAATGTGCCGACACTAGCGCTGCTGGGTCAGTGGTTGTTGACATGAAGAAAGGGGAAGAACTTTACTTGAAAGTGTTTCGCGCAGGTCAAGACGCAACTTTATCCTTTTACAGTAGTTTTACTATCGTTAGTTTATAGAGGTACAACACAAAACATGGTGGATGCTAAATTCTCAAAAAATAACATATGTAACCAACATGTTAAACACACTCTAACAACTTACTATGTCTGTAAAATACTTGTCTACAAACACTTGAATGAGTGTGGAAGCGGTATCTTTATAACTAAGCAGCGTCCTCTTCTAGCATTACAAAAAAAGGGAAATAAAACTGGTTACTGGCTTGTCTAGTAGTCTGGATTCTTTTATTACAACTAATATACATCCATTAAATAAAAAGATAATATATACTTAATCTATTTTTTTATACAAAATATTTCACGAAACAGCCCCCTCTTACTTATCAGACGTATATTCTTTAAAAAAAATCGCCGTCTTAATTTACCGATCCCATATACAACTTTTTTTCCAAAATCACAACTTCGCCTACTCTGGTTCTATTTTGTGGAACAATTTTCCTAATAAAATAAACTATCTAGATCTGAAAATATATTCAAAGCTAAACTAAAACAACAATTATTTAATGACCTCTCTAACTGACTCAGTGCAACATTTCTCATTCATCTATTATATTCTTATTTTATCTCATTTTTTATTATAACTATGTTATTTCTTCATTCCACATTATTAATGATATGTTACTGCTATGTCGTTACTATGCAATTGCTTTTTTAAATTGCTGTTATTAATTTGTAGTTTTATTTGTTTATTTTAAAACGTGCCTACTATTGTTAACGTAATTGAATAAATAAATAGATAAATAAAAGCCAGCACCATCTTCCCGGTATGTAAGAGTTAGGTGTATGGTCAAAATCATTTAAATTAATTTACACATATACATTTGATGTTTTAAACATAAACGTATTTTTGTTGTTGAAGATGTAATTAAGATCTAGAACTTTGAGGCAAATCAAAATAACTATATAAAAATGCTTGAATTGGTTTACTAGGCTAAATCAATATTTACTTTACGTATTAAATCACTAATCCAAATTTTGAGTTTGCAAAGAAAATTGAAATTTATTTTGACTGCAACTGTTATCTATATATATAATTCTCCTCTTCGAGCCGTTAGAAAACAAGCTGCAAACGCTCTCCCTACCTCCCCACCCCTACATGGTTTTAGTGAGCTGTGTTTAGAAAACAAGCTGCAAACGCTCTCCCTACCTCCCCACCCCTACATGGTTTTAGTGAGCTGTGTTTAGAAAACAAGCTGCAAACGCTCTCCCTACCTCCCCACCCCTACATGGTTTTAGTGAGCTGTGTTCACTCTAAATGTTTACAAGCAGAGCCAACGATTTTAAACGTAGGGGGGGGGGGGGGGAGGAGGGGTGGAGGGAAGGAAGGGGGGGGGGGGTTATGGTCCTTAACGAGCTACTTATAGTGTTTTAAAGAAATATTTTCAGTGTCAGCGTTGGTACTGTCGAATTCACAAATTATGAATTATTGAAAATTAGAAACAACTAAATAGCGGCGTATGTTATGTCGCGGGCCGGCTCGTTGTGATTATTGCATTCGTTCTATTAAAAATTAGATTACATATTTTCTATATTGAAAACCTATTTTTTTCTTTTATTCAGTATCATTGAATCAGTAACTTTACACACTATATATAACTATCTTTATCTGTCAACCCTCCCCCCCCCACCTCTCTCTCTCTCCTCTCCTCTCTCTCTCTCTCCAGCCGATCAAACACTATTTTCTATGAAAGACTCAATGAAATTATCAATGACAGAGTCAATTATAACTACCGCTCTCCTGTATTTTTCTCTCGAGAAACTCAATGATAAAGCGTTAGTAGTTAAAAAGAGAGAGAGAGAGTTTATCAAAACGAAAATAATTCAACTCGTTTAATTAATAAAGCGTTAAACGTAATTATTAATTCTTAATTTCTCAGCGATTGATACAATTGTTTAGGGACAGTTAAACTATGTTTTTTATATATAGATCCTCGATCTTCATTTATAATGTATTAATTAAAATAAGATTTTTTAAAAATAATTAAAACAGGTCTTTGTACTATATTATTAAAAAAAAAACAACTAATGAATATAATAAATAATTTTGACTATTTCTCTTTCTAAACCTATCGAATATCTGTTTTTTTTTAATTCAAGGTAATCTTTTATAGAACCTACATGATTAACTTTTCTTCTAATAATAAAAAAAAACTCTAAATAAAAACTATTATTCCTACAAATATTAGAGTAGTCTCCCTTGACAGTTTCTATTCGAATGTATTTTGTGTTAATTTTCGTTATGAAATACAGTTGACTTTTTTAATTAATTATATAAGAAAACAATCTATCTCAGTATATATTTATTTTAAAAAATATGACAGTAATTAGAATAGGTGTTTCTGGTTAAATAGCAATTATTCTCATTCTAAATCTTTGGCTATCGAGTTTCATGGGTTTTTAAATTTAAGATTATATACACATTGGCTTGACGAAAATGATTATATACACTTAAATACATACTAAAATTTACTTTTGTTAATAAACCTACACTATTTTATACACACATACAAAAAAGAATATTTTAGCGGCAGTTACAACGTCAAAAAAAAAAGGAAACTCCTTTATACTGAATAGTTCTACTTAACAACAAAAATGTAAAAATACATAGTCCTAGAGCACACTAACACATACATATATACATACGAAGATATGTGTGGGTGTAAGTAGGATGTGAGGTGGGTAGACAGGCGGGGTGGAAGGAAATCAGTTTTGCAGGAATAACGGTAGGTAGGAAAGTAGGTAGGCAGGCAGCAGCGCAGGCAGGTTAGTAGATAGGTAGGTACGTAGGCAGTGAGTTAGGTATATAGGTAGGTGGGCCTAGGTAGGAAGGCGCCTCACTCGGTATAGTGAGCGATTATAGTAGCCCATCATTTTCATAGCGTTTCGCAATTATTAAAACGAACAAATGTACCATAGTACTCACGGGAAAACCCGGGGAGCTAAATAGAACCCTGCCGGGGCGCCACCAAATCGAATTTTTGTTTCGCAGAAACCACCACACAGGTATTAGCATTAGCTTCTCAAATTTGAATGACAAACGAATGAAATCTGTGAGTGAGCCTTGAGTGTACGTTAATCAACCTCTGTAATAGTGAGGTAGAACACACATTGGCGACCGCCCATGTGTTAGAGACGCGTCCCTTGGTGCTCCAGGGAGCCACTGGTTATACTTCCGCAGGGGCGCCCCTAATTCGGTTTAATTATAAAAGGTCGTGTGCCACCGTGTCCCTATTGTATGGTGCTCTTTAAAGAGGCACTCTCGGTAGAGCCCGGGGCGCTCGCTGTCGCCAACTGCAAGGGCGCCGGCGGGCGCTCATTATTCTACTTAGTGAACATTTATAGTAACCCATCTAAACCGTAGTGTCGCCCGAGGTGGGTCTTGGCCGCTCTGGGCCATTCAACCGCCGAGGAGCTGGCGGTTGAACCTGGTGTAGTTTTATCATTGAATCTCAGAGGCGTAGCACCATTCCTGGCGCATGGGGACAAACTTTCAATTTGGCGTCGCCCCCCCCCCCCCCCTACCCGTATTTTTTAATATTTATAATGCAAAACTGTAGCTAGAATGAGCTTTAAAATTTTTCCCACCCATTTTGGCGCCCCCTAGGGTTGGCGCCCGGGGACATATGTACCCCCTGGCCCCCCTCGCTACGCCTCTGCTGAATCTAGTATTACCTATGACCGCAATTGATGAGATAGCCCCTCTGGATTCTGGGCTCATAATCGCATAATGAGAAAAATCGAACCCTCCCAGGGAATTGTTTTCTTTCTCGAAACCCTTTTCACCAAATCCCCAAAATTTTATGACTCTCGTACGAACAGTGTCAAATTGCATCTGGCTTTTATTTTTATGGAGAAAAATTGCATTGCTTCCTGTCAGAGACCCCAGATCGAATGGGGCGCCAAAAGGGGTAGACAATTTTTAAAAAATCCTCATTCTTCAGTAAAATTTAAGAAAACAGATTTATACATGACTAATATCCTCAATTATTTTATATAAGGGAGTGTATGTAGGGATGGGCGCCTTTTTGCCCGATATCTGTCCGATATTAGACACATTTGTAAATATCTGTCACAATATGGGCATAGAGATGATATAACGATAGCTTATCTTTGCGGACGACGCTAAACTTTGGCATCGACACCACGGCCTACAAGTTCAAATTTGGTCCTTCAGAAATGTTTGAAGTCTCTAGATTAAAACTACTTTTCTCTTTTATGTGCCTAATGACCACATCACATGTATTTGTTCTGAAAGTCTAAAAACAGAGACACAAATATATCGTCTAGACTTGTGAGGTCTACAGATTAGGTATTTTGGCAGTTATCTAAGCCCTTGCCTGTTCTGACTCAAAGCCTTATTCTTTCTCTATCGACGCCTTGCGTAACATGGGATTGGGCTTTTAAGGCGGCATAAAGCTTTATGTTGTTCCTTTTTGAGTACACTAGATTAAAAACTAACGTTTTCAGATGCCTAAAGATGTTTAACCACTAATTAATCAGAATAATGGGTCAAGATTTCAATTCTGGGTTTCGGGACACGTTAGTTGCCGGGGTTGAGCTAATGTCGATAGCATAAGGACTGTAAATTGATGCGGGCGTTTTATTTGTTGCCCATCGTAATAATTGAATGGTTGATGGGGCTTCTTCAAGGGTTTGATTTGCCGTAATGTTAATGATATCATGCATGTGAGGCTTTTGTAAGAAGAAAATGCGTTAAAACCCTTTTTAGTTATGCTTTTTTTAAATAGGCCTATATTTTACGACAACATAATCGTAATGAACAATAAAATGAATTTAAACAACTTTAGAATACACCTGTTTCGGCTAACATGAATATTATTCTTCAAACTAGTAATGTTAAACGTGTCTTTTTCGCATTTTCGACTTATAAGCATTACAATAAATTCCGATAACGTCCATATGCATACACGCAATGGCGTAGGCGAGGAGGGGTTTAATAGTGATTTAATAATGATACTTTCTTAACCCTCTACTGGACATCATGTTTGGTACCTTGCCCCCGGCAACTGGGTGGATTTGGATTACACCCAAGTTTTACTTTATAGTAAATGGCTTCAGTTTTAATTATTGGAGTTGGTTGCAACATTGACACAGTTGAAGGTATTCAGAACAAGGTGGCCAGGAGAAATCACATTAATTAGTATAAAATTTACCATTACTAACAATAGGCCCTACTTAATTGTTTAATGTTGCTGGATATTAAACCTAGTAGGTATTTATGTTTATTAATTTGTACAGAAACAAAAAAAGGATTCCCAAACAAAGTTTTATTTTTCAGAAATAAAGAAAAAGATACAAATCAATAAAGAACAGTTTTCAAAAAAAATTGTATATAGATGTAAGTAATTATTATAAAATAGGAATATAGTATTGCATAGATAAAAATAAAATACTTGACACAAACAATATGGGGAATATTTTTTATCAGAGAAGAGAAAAATATATGATGTAGTTTGAAAATAATAATCTACAGAAAGCAGCTTTTGCAGATTAAAATGAAAATTCACATGCCTATATAATTTTTTGAGTAAATGAAGCAAGGCACAAAACACTAGGCTAAATAATATGCATAGGACAGGCATTGAAAACTACAAATTGCATATAGTGAAGGTTACCCTACTTTTATTGGCTATTTCCACCACAGTAAAGATTTATGGCTTTCTTACCTGCTTGTAATATTGTTAAGGAAAAAGTGAAGTATTGTTAACTTTTTATGGCAGGCCAACTACGGGCTGTGTTCTGGGAACATGTCATCTGTAAGGGGCATTGTTCTCGGCACATGTTGTCATTTTGTGTGTTCTCGGCACATGTTGCCATTTTGTGTGTTCTCGGCACATGTTGCCATTTTGTGTGTTCTGGGAACATAATGACATTTTGTGTGTTCTGGGATCATGTTGCCATTTTGTGAGTTCATGGAACATGTTGACATTATTTGGCTGTGTTCTGGGAACATGTTGCCATTTTGTGTGTTCTGGGAACATGTTGCCATTTTGTGTGTTCTGGGAACATGTTGACATTATGTGGCTGTGTTCTGGGAACATGTTGACATTATGTGGCTGTGTTCTGGGAACATGTTGACATTATGTGGCTGTGTTCTGGGAACATGTTGACATTATGTGGCTGTGTTCTGGGAACATGTTGACATTATGTGGCCGTGTTCTGGGAACATGTTGACATTATGTGGCTGTGTTCTGGGAACATGTTGACATTATGTGGCTGTGTTCTGGGAACATGTTGACATTATGTGGCTGTGTTCTGGGAACATGTTTGTTTCATTTTTAAATATTATAATAAAACATTTTTAGAAATTCTATATTAGGAATTGTGTATATATATAAATTTATATATTTAATAAGACAATTGGATGAATTATAATAAACAGCAAAAATGATTCAAATAAGTTTAGAAGTATTTGGCTTGTTGTCCCAACAGTGAACTGTATTCCGAGCTTGTTTCCCTAGTGATAATCCATGTTTTTGTGCCACCCTTCCAATCAAGTATCCAGCTTTTTCTTGGCCTGTATCAAAATGCTGGTCATAGACTTGCTTGACTTGTG